TGAAGCCACCAAGTCCTGACTTCTGGCTGAGGTACATATAAATTACAAAACTACTCGTAGTGAACTGTTTACTTTTCTTTTCAGCATTTGTAAGCACTTTGGCTCTTTCTCTTTAGATCTGTTTTAGAGCTAGATTATGTCTCTACCTGAGTTCAGGGGAGCCTGGAGAATGAATCATAACTCACTGAGTCATAGTTCTTCACCCCCCTCCAGGCCTCCATTTCACTTTGCTCAGGGGTGGGTGGGGGAGGAAATGACTTCCCTCTGTGTAACCAGCTAGTTACAGTGACTAAGGAACAGAGGACTGGTGCCAAAGCTCCTCCCATTTTGTATGTTTCTCCCACGGGGGAGCACTGAGCAAACAGCTCAATGTGCCTGCAGTCACAGTCTGAGCAGTGGGGCATTAGTGCTCCTTACTCTCTTGTATAACCAAGTAAGGGCTGAGGAGCTAGCCCTGAGTGTTTACAGCTGTTTCTTTGTATCTGGGACATTTTCTGTTGCAGTGGTACCATCTATCTCCACCTGTGCTAATGAGCAAAGGGAGCAAGAGGCAGCAAGCAACATTAACTGACATTAAAGCATATGAGTTCAGACTAGTTTTATTTATTTTGTGAATTGCTCCATTCGGTGACATAATTAAATACCAAGAGGGTTCCATACACACAAAAATTTAAAAAAATTAAAAATCCCACCTGGCTGTGTATTATGAGTTTCTCTATTATATAAATTTGCCAGAGGCATTACTTCTTCCAGCAGGCATTGAGGTACTACTGCCAGCAGTACCTCCCCATACAGCCAGGAATAATGCTGTAGTGGACAGGCACGACACTGTCTACTACATCAATACTGTTACTGTGGGTAGTTGTTTTATGTATTCCTGACCATTCCATGTTTACAACTATTCAAATCTCCATGGGGTGACTTGAATCAGCTGTAGTCCTGAAGGGCTAATGTAAGCTCTGAGGTTTTAGACCTTTTTTCAGGGAACCTTGTTTGGGTAGTTGATATGCAGCCTTTGAAGAATCTCTGTTATAGATGCTTTTTGGAACCAGGTGTTTCCAGTTGACAGGAATATCTTTCTGGTCAGTCACCCAATCCAGAGAAAATGAGTCTCCATGTCTGCTGTCCTACAGAAAGCCTCAAGCTCCTTGGCTCAACAGCTATAAAGGTAACATGTTATTTAGAAGGGAAGTGTCTCTATTAAGTGACCAAGCACTGCTGACTACTGACTGAGCACCCTGCAATGGGTCCATTCTCAGGGACAGAGTTTGCAACTCCACCCACCCAATCGCCATACGCAGCAAGTAGGTTCTTGGGAATGAGTGAGAGTCAGGTAGGAAACCTTTTAAGAGGTTTTTCTTGGGAATTACTTGTCTGACAGATCTGTTCTGGAGGCCAGACGGGGAAAGGATGAACTAGCCACGTGACCCAAATGTAAAGCCACCTCCTTCCAGCCCTGAGAGCACCGGGGGGAGGGAGGGGGGGCGCTAAATGATTACCCTTCTGATTAGGCATTTTACACCCACTTTGTAGAGGTGTAAATGACTAAGCTGCAGAGAATTGAGAATCTGGCCCACTGCATCCACTTTCCACTCCATTCTCCAACAACAGGGGAGTATTTTAGAAAATCTCTGCCTGTAGACGCCAAGCCCTTGAATTCCCCAACAATGACCATCCAAGGGAAATACTATAAATTTTCAGCTGTAATAACTCCCACACGCTGCATGGTTTTATGGGGGTGGGGGTAGTAAGCAGTCCCCAGAATCAGAAGTTCTGTAACATATGAAGTAGTGAGATCATGTGCATGGACTTTTCTTTTTGGTGGGTAGCTCTCCAATTCCCAGTTACTGAGATGAGTTTTTCTTTGCCTTCAGGCATTTGTGTGTCCTACTGACCTTTTTTCCTGGATAGATCAGTCTTCTGTGGAGCCAGCATTCCCTCTCTTCCAGAGCTTTCCTAGTTTGGAAAGAACCCATAGATGTTTTGTCTGGGACTGGGCTCCTAAAGTGCAACTGGCATATCTAATATATCAATTCCTAACTTACTAGCTACAGAGTTTGGCTTTTTTCAAAGGGAGAGTGTTTATTCAGATGAAGATGCATGAACTATTTGGCATTCTTTTGTATGCATACATTTTCTGGTTTAGACTCTTTACACAATCTTTATTTCTGGCCACCACACTTCCATTTGGATTCAGCTCAATGAGTGAAACAAGATCTTGCTTGTCAGGAAAGCGACACATTAGCTGTAGAGAGAAAATACTTTTCTTTTTTTTTAAACATTCCTTTAGAATATATTTTAGTTTAGCTTCATATGTGCCTAAGATACCTCTTCCCTGGTTTTGTACTTTTCTCAAAGCTTTTTCACTACCAGATTTCTGAGATTATTCAGCAGGCAGATAAAATATCTTTTTGTGCTATCTTTAATGTACTATAAAGGGTAGGAATAAGAGAAAGACTGCACGTACACTCTGAGACCACTGAAATCTTATTCACAGGACAGAATCTTTTGAAAAATTCCATGATCACAAAAAACTTAAATGTTTAGTGTTGCCAATCTTTTAAAATAATGAGCCAAATTCTACTGTGTTACATTGGTGTAACTGAGAGCAGAATTTGGCATAATAGGAATATGCAAGGGGCCCAGAGTTGAGAGAAATCAATATAACAGTGTTCTGAGTGCTGATGCTCCGAAGTGGCCATGAAAAAAGAAGATGGATGAAAGGATAAATAGGGAGAAAAGGACTTGGTGCTGGAAACAGCAAATCTAGTCTATGGGGAGAGATTGCAGGTACAGGTAGAAAAATTGGGTCATTATGATCAGTGAAAGATGTGCAGTGTTTGGGGAGGAGAAAAGGAAATAATGTTTTTCGGGAAGTGGAAAGCTCATCCTTAAAAAGATATGTATATATGTTTGAAGGATCCAACCTTAGAAGATACATTAAGGTCAAAGGCAGTGTGACTAGTGCATGTGGATTTTTATTTAGTTAGTTTGTAAGTATGCTGGAATTTTTAGAAATGAAAAAAGTTGTCTGTTTTGTTTTAAACATCATCCATCCAAGGGACAAAAAAATAGCATATTTGTTCACATAAACTATTTGGTGAATACTTATGAACAGCAAATACATTAGCTGAAATTGGAATCAGTTTGTGAAGAGTAGAAAGGGCAAAATTTAGTTAAAATAAATCTGCAAGACTTGTGAGATCTAACCTCAGGGATAACTTTGGGTCCCTGTAAATCCTAGTGCAATGAACTGGCTCAGACATACTGAAACGATCAAAGAGGAATGACATATATATTTGTAAGTTTTATTTTGGTACACAGGTTATTATTAGCATTACTTATAATTTATACAGTAGAGTCTAATGTTTGACATGTTCTGTTACAAACACATTATGAAGAGAGAGTCCCAGTCCCAAACAATTTATATGCTAAAAAGGACAAATGGATAAAAGGTGGGGGGAAATAAAACAACATACAAACCAAGGGTTTTTGTTATTTTTAGATTTCCTTTCATAATATTAGTATGAACTTATATTTAACCTTTCCTCCAAGGAGTTAAATGTGTCTTAAAATCCACCTCACAACATCTTAAAGATTGTGACTTTCCCAAGGCTATACTGTGAGTCAGTGGCACAGTTGGGAATCTGAGCCCTGGTCTACACTAGGACTTTAGGTCGAATTTAGCAGCGTTAAATCGATGTAAACCTGCACCCGTCCACATGATGAAGCCCTTTTTTTCGACTTAAAGGGCTCTTAAAATCGATTTCCTTACTCCACCCCTGACAAGTGGATTAGCGCTTAAATCGGCCTTGCCGGGTCGAATTTGGGGTACTGTGGGAGCTATCCCAGAGTGCTTCATTGTGACTGCTCTGGACAGCACTCTCAACTCAGATGCACTGGCCAGGTAGACAGGAAAAGAACCGCGAAAAAAGGCGCGAAACGATTGCTGCTGCTTTCACAGAGGGAGGGAGGGAACGGGGGCCTGACGATATGTACCCAGAACCACCCGCGACAATGTTTTAGCCCCATCAGGCATTGGGATCTCAATCCAGAATTCCAATGGGCAGCAGAGACTGCGGGAACTGTGGGATAGCTACCCACAGTGCAACACTCTGGAAGTCGACACTTGCCTCAGTACTGTGGAAGCACTCTGCTGAGTTAATGCACTTAGAGCATTTTCTGTGCTCTTTCACACACTCAAATATATAAAACCGATTTCTGAAAAACAGACTTCTATAAATTCGACCTAATTTTGTAGTGTAGACATACCCTAAACCTGGTGCTAGCCACCATTCCCCTTCTCTAACCATGCTTTCTTTTCTTTCATCTTGTACTCACTATTATTGCTTCACTGTTATGAAGGCTGGGTGAGGTTTTTTTGGTTCCCCAAATGCTTTAAAATGCAATGAAAGCCTCTTTCTAGTCATTGTTACCTGAATGTATTAATAGCTGCAGAGGAAATTATCTTGAATTCCATCACAGAAGACACTCTCTATTGGGGTAGTAACATGCAGATAACCACACCTGTACAATAGTAACTGCATTTCACAATAATGTAGGTTTGATTTATTTCTTTTTCACTTTATAATGCTAATAAAATATATATAAACTCTACACAGTAAAACAAAAGACATTTTGTATTCCTAAAATGGTTTTCCATTATAATGTTATAATAAGTTATGGTGATTTGTTGTTGTTTTTTTCACAGCTGCTTTTAGAAGGTTCATTCCACAACATGAAACTTGAAAAAATGGGATTTATACATCTCTCCAGGTATATTCACCTCACTATTTGTATGGCTTGCCAGCATTTTGAACTCGGTCAGAAAACAGTCAAAGGAGTGGCAGTATTTTAGAGTTATTGTACACTTGATAAAGTTCTCCTGGACAGATTTCTCTAGGACCCAGAGAGACTGCGAGTGTTGACAAAAAAAAAAAAAAAAAATCAGCACCTGAATCAATTCCCCCACCTTCTTATGATTGTGTACCTGTTTTCCTTATAAGGAAAATAAGGAAGTAAGATAAAGAACAGTGTTAAGTTCCATAACCATGTTGAAGTTGCTTTTATGCACAGCTCGTCGTCTTTACCTATTCAGGTAGCTTTTGTTTTCTTTGTATTAATGTTCTGCCCTGGTAGTTTGGAAATTTCTCTTCAAACCAGTGTAAGTATCATCTTAGAATATACACTTCAGGAATCTATGACTTTTACAACATTCCATATTAATCATTTTACCCTGAAGGTAATTATTCTTTTATACTTTTAATTCACACAGCCAGAACTGAAAACGAATGGGGATTGTGTTGCTTTTCCTGTTCTTTCTATTTCTGCAAAGAAATAACAATGTACAAGGTAAGGCTTACAATTACTGAACTCTGCTTCTTTAAAAGCATATTTTGCATTGTCTTTTGTTTAACAACTTTCTATTAACTAGCTTCCCATGTTGTCTGTTCAGTCATTCCTTTCCACTTAATGAATGTTTTTGACAGAGTGTAGTATTACTACGTAGCCAATAAATGTAATTAGAGTACATCTGTTCATAATATAGAACTACCTGCGCCAAACACACAGGCTTTTGAGCCATTTTAATTATACACATCAGAGTTTGATCCATCATGAAATTTCACAGTGCATCTGTGACTCTGGAGGTGTCTATGGAACCTGGCATAATTTTAACTTCCAGAGTAAGTACATTGGAAAGCAGACTGAAACAACTGTAATGTGTACAATGTACACATATCTATTTCGCTAAAAATTCTAGTTATGGTTAAACAAATTTAACAATTATGAAATGCATTTCAGAAAACAAATAGTGTGCATATTTTTCATAGATGAGTGACCTTCAGGTCCCCACATTTTTTATTAATTGCCAGTAATAGTGTAATTATTGATCAAGTTAAATACTAAACTAATATAAATATTTTAATGATGGAATGTTATCAATAATCTTAAGTATGTCCAAATGTGTCACTATTTTTTATCTCCAATATTTTTAACTAAGTGGGGCATTTTATAAAAAGAATAATTATACCCATTATTAATCTCTTCTCTTCCTGGGTTTAAATATAGGAAATTGTTCTCCAGGGAGTGCAGTGACTTGTGAAGATTGTTTGTTTTCTGGACAACAGTGTGCTTGGTGTTCTCAAGAGGTAAAGTAAATTATCTTAAAAATTTCAAAGCCGTACAATCTGAGTGTTTGCAGTGGCTATGAGTGATGGAATTATTGAATTAACTGGGTCAACCGGTGCTTTTGTAATGCATGAAGAATTTAGAGAGAGAAAATTGCCTGTGTAATTTTCTCTGGGAATTAAAAGTGGTTCATCTGGAAATTATGGTTTATTGTTCATCGTTCTCTGTTTCTTTAAAAAAAAATCCCCAGCTTTTAGCACCTTTGTTTCTACCTATCAGAGGAGCTGTACTCATCATTTTGGAAGTGACTATGGTGAGATTGTACAGCTCCTGTGATACAGGATAGAGCACCTAAGATATGGAGGTCTTATGACTGAAGTATGGGTCTGGGAAACAGATATGGATCTGGTTCCCAGATATGTCACTGACTTCCTGTGTGACCCCAGGCAAGTCACTTAACTTATCTGTGGTTCAGTTCTTAATGTGTAAAATGTGAATAAGAATACCTCCTGGCCCCACAGCAGGTGTTCTGAGCTTCACTTTGTTAGTGTTTGTGAAGCAGTTGGCTACTGCGATTAAAGGCTCAATAGAAATGGCTATAAATAAATAAAATAAGCAGGGTCCAAATGAGAGCCACATGCCCTTCTCCCTTTTAAAGCAGAAGGTGAACTGTTAGGTGCTCAGCACTTTTGAAAATCTGGCTGCTTGTTCAGGAGCCTAAATATGATTTTTAGAAGCCTAACTTTAGATTTTGGAAATCTTGGCTCTTATAAATACAGATAGACAAACACAGGGTTTTGTGAATCCTTTTCAGCCAACAGCTAGCCAGTCAAGTGCTAGTTAGTTTTTGAATTATTGATCAGCTAGGTATGTACTGCAAAATTTCTTAAAATAATGTCTTAGTCAACTGGATTGTGTTTGATATTTCTGTCGTGCTGAGCACCCTTAATAGCCATTGGCTTCAGTGGCAATTGAGGGTGCTAAGCACTTCAAAGGATCAGGTCCAAAGCATGTAATAAATATATAAACACAATACATAGATCAGATATGAGAGAGAAACAGAATGTGTGTTAAAATACTTTATTGTGGTGGTTTACTGTTCATACCTCTACAGCTCTCTTTTAAGGGACTCTTTAAATAATTTATAAACACTTCCCTTAGGGGGTTTTAGTTGAACAGTAAAAATACCATCTTGGATGAAACTGACATACCGTTCTTTTTTAATCCAGTTTTTACTAAAAGCAATTTAGCAATTTGCAAGATATAACACTAGGAAAGTCTCCGGTCCCCCCCAAAAAGTGTTTTTTCTATGCTTTTTTTAAAAAGAGTTCAAAACACAGGATTTTCATAATATGAAATTTTCCATGTTATTAGGTACATAATTAGGCCAATTGCCATTGCGTGTTTTCATAAAATACAAAAAGAAAACAACTAAGTTCTTGAGTCTGGAAGTACTATGTATAGATCATGTGCACTTATTGGAAATGTCAGTGGAATAAATATAATGTTTGCCCATGGATTTATTTGCTACACTCATGTGATGTGGGGCAGGCAAAGACTCTATATATTTAAAATCTGTATATTTATTTTAGTGTCAGGCTACACTCAATAAAAGGAGCCATCATAGTCTATTGGATAAAAATACACATTCTGACTAGCCCTGAACCATGTGTTTACCTGATAATGAATTGTTTTGAGAAGCCAGAAAATTCAGTGTTAGCTACTGCAGCCGGTATGCTCTGTTTTCCAAGGGTTTCATAATAATAGGTGATTTTTATATACACTGGGTTTGATCCTGTTGTCAATGGGTGTTTTATCTGAGTAGACATCAGAAGTGGCCCAAGTACAGAAAGGCAAATTTTTCCCTCCTATGTTTCCACTGAAATCAGTGAGACACACATATATCCATGAACAGAATTTGACTCCCAGTGGGAAGTGAAAAGCAGAGTCTTAGCATTAACTGAATTTCTGGGCTTTTGTGGATTTTGTGGATTTAAAGTAACTTTGCTGTAACTTTAACAGAGTGTTTCTCAGTGACAAAATTCAGGGACATTTGCAGGTTAAGGGACAAAGTTTAAATTCCTTCTACAGGCACAAGAGAAGAATATGGACCAGTGGTATGGGCACAGGATTGAAAACCAGAAATTTCCAAATTCGAATCCCAGCTTTGACATGGGCTCCCTCTGTGGCCTTGGTCAAATCACTTAGACTCTCTGCCAAAGTTTTCACACAGCAATGATGATAATACCTTACAACAATGTTGTGAAAATTAATGTGAGTATATTGCTTTGAAGAGGAATATATAATCATAAAACTCCCATTCCAGTTGGTGGGAGTTTTGCTTGACTAGGAATGCAGGGCCCGATCCAAAGACTATTGAAGTCAGTGGAAAGTCTCCTGTTGACTTCAGTGGGCTTTAGATCAGATCCTAAGTGCAGGAGAAGGCCAAACAGCACACAAGGCTGAATTAAAGGAAATAAATACAAGTGCCACGTGTATCTCTGGGCTAAATTCATGGTCATGAAAATATGGTGTTAGTTAAACATCAGGTGTAAGATGGTCAGAAAACAGGTGTAAGTTATGGAGTATTGATTTACCATTCATAAGTGTCCAAAATTAGTATTGACGGAGAAGGGTGCAGCAGGAAAAACAAGATAAGACTCAACATACACTTTAACTTATGTGTCACCATCCCCAAATCTCTTAGGGCCAAATAAATACCAGGCATAAGTGACACAATTCCCATACACCAATGATACAACTGGTGCCGCTAGGATACCAAACAAATGTATGCTCCGTTAATTTTGCTATGAAAAGCCTGATAGATGCAAATTTAGACTGTTATGCCACCTACACCCATTTCTTTGCCAGCTTACACCCTGTGTGTAACTTATACCACAATGTCTGTCACCTCTGCATTTGGCCCACCATGCATAAATAATTTATTTTCCATTGTTCAATAATAAATTTAGCTCTTCCCTTCCTTCTGCTGATTGTTTCAGAATTATACTGACTCATCTGGAATTCATGGAAGGTGTGATACTCCAGCAAATCTTTTGTCAAAAGGATGTCAGTCGAACTTTATTGAATTTCCCATTTCTAAAGTAGAAATTCACAAAAATAAGCCCCTTAGCATAGGAATCCAGAAGAATAACTCTGATGTCACACAGATTTCCCCTCAAAAGTTAACTTTTAGACTGCGACCAGGTAAGTTATTCAGTTCATAACTGTGATTCTTTCTTGTTGATGCTGTCTTTCCAGGTTTCTCAGACTAAATTGTTAATGATCTAAAAAACAGAATGTATTTACTGTATTTAAATAATTTGTATTAACAAATTCGAAATTAAGCATTATTTGTAATCAAATAAGACCTAGTGAATATTTATCATGTGTTAATCTGATGGATAGATCTAAAATGTACACTATTTAAATTCCCCCCAAAGTATTTTGCATTTATGTAAAAGGAGATTAATCTCCCTGCTCTGTTCTCTTCATGGCTTGTGGCAGCACAAAGGGAATGGAAATGTCACACATCTATCAGGCTGGGAATTCCCCCCGCGGGTGTAGAGCGGGACGAGCTAGTTCCTATACCGTTCCTCTTGTGCCCCTGATGCGGGAGGTGTATTGAGGGTGGAAATGAAGGGGCCGTGGCCATAGCCATAGCACAGTAGGCGAGCTATCCCATGGGATGTAGCCAGCTGGTATTGGTTAGAGGAGTCTGAAGGCCAGGGATGCTGGAGCAGTTTTTATAGTGGGTTTGCTTAGAGCCATTGAAGCAAACTGTAAACCTTGTCCACTTCAAGCCAGGGGGCACGGCAGCAGCACCCCCAGTTCCAGCACCTATTCCGGAGGCTTCTCTAAACTGCACCCAGGCCATGGCAGAGATGAGGAGAGAATTGGGAAACTGCAACCATAGCCAGCTCCCCAGTGTCTCACCTCTTCATTGCTACCCTGAGAAAATCTCAGCTGCAGTAGAGAATCTGCCATATAGTGTTTTTATCGGAGGATATCAACATGATTTGCAAGATCCCCTGAGGTCTATGGTGTTACTGTGGATTTACACCAATATAACATAGATCAGAATTTGTCCTAGGGAAAATGAGGTGCAGAGAGATTTAAATAACACACAGTATGTTAGTACTAGAACCAGGAATAGAACCCAGGCACACTTGTAATCCACTCTCCCAGTCCCATGCTCAGACCATTAACCCTTGCACTCGCTCCTACAAGTACTAACTTCTGTTTCATAATAGAACATTTTAAAGCTGCACTCTGACATTTGTTTTTTCTAACACACTAGATCCACAGGAATCAAATAGTCCTAAACCTAAAGTTAGTACTTAACTTTTACCGTACCACTCAAGTAATACTTACTTAAGGTCTTTCAGATTTTCTATTTGGAATTTTTATTTATGCTTTTATACATTTCTATTAATTCCACCAATGGCACAGAATAAACAGACAGCATCATTGATATATTGCCCATAACATTGTCTACATGTGTTAATTTGTTCTCCATTTCCCCTATGGCTTTACTAGGAAATGAAGAAACAATAGAGATCAAAGTTCGCCAGACTGAAGATTATCCGGTTGATCTCTATTACCTCATGGACCTTTCTGCTTCCATGGATGATGATCTGAATACAATAAAGGAATTAGGCTCAACTCTTTCCAAAGAAATGTCAAAACTAACCAGCAACTTTAGACTGGGGTTTGGGTCTTTTGTTGAAAAACCAGTTTCACCATTCATCAAAACCACAGCTGAAGAAATAAACAACCCTTGCAGGTAGGCAAAGAAAGCACCTATGTATGTTTGTTATTTAATATAGGAACACAGATAAGATTGATCATTGGGGGCAAAATCCTGCTCACTGCCCTCACTGCAGCCTTTCCACCTTACTCACTTGCAGTTGAGTGAATAAAGCAAATGGGACTTGGCTCTTGGTTCATACTCTGGTCATTTTCTATACCCCATTGGGTTGTTGGGAAGAGGGGGTGTTTAGGGGGGAAGAGGTTTACCTTTTTGCTTGCTGTTTAGATTTTCCTGCTAATTACAAGTGTGTGTGACTGATTAGCACATTGATAACTTGATAACTCAAGTTATATGTCTCTTTAATTTGCTTGAAATATATATTCTTTATTAAAATCCTGGATTATTCATGTGACAGCTGTAAAGGCTCACAATACTTTTGGGTACTCAAAAATACCAAAATACAACAGTTCAGTATATTTATTAATGTTCTTATTATTTATTTGTTTTAAAGAACCAGGAACAGTCCCTTCTGCCCTATGCTGCATGAGTCCTGCCCGGATCACAACTCTGGGGTGCTTGTGGAGAGTGGGGGCTGCATGCCTGATACTCTCCTCCTCTCAGAGCAAGTGGGGAGGAGCCCAGTGGGCCTATCTGGGTGTGATGGTGGGAGTATACTGTGCTCTGTAAGGAGCTGGAGCAGATTAAAAGAGGAGCATAGGAGGAGTATGCCACTTCAGGGTATCACTGGGGCACAGTGCCTCCCAGGGCTACTCCTGGGGAAGTGCAGTTTACACACCATTCTTTAGCCACAGAGTATCTAAATGCACAGTTTCACTTTAAAATTAACTGAGTGCCATTTTATGTTTTAACCTTGAAGTTTTTTCACTTGGTCTGTCTAACTGAACTGTAAAGGTACTACTTTCAGCAATGATATTAATAAAGCAAGGTACACAGAGGAGATGTGCACCTGAAAACTACGCTAGATAGAGTTACAAAGCAACTACAGTGTGTGCATTCTATCTCTGCATTGGCCGTAAGATATATCATTAAGATATATCATTTATATATCAGATATATATATATATATCATTTATGCTATATATCATTTATATTATTAAGATATATCATTTATTTTATAGCAGTGTTCCACGTAATTGCTTACCCACCTTTGGATACAAACATGTTTTGCCATTAACAAATGATGCTGAAAGATTCAATGAAATTGTGAAAGAACAGAAAATCTCAGCTAATATAGACACTCCAGAGGGAGGATTTGATGCAATTATGCAGGCAGCTGTTTGCAAGGTAATGAAACCTCTAGGTGTAATATTTATTAGTCCACATTTTAATATTAATAGATTTTTATGGTATTTTTAAAAAAATAAGCAGCTCTTGTTTTCTCAAAATGTAGATTCTGACCCTGATCTGACTCCACTAAAATCAATGGAAGGACCCCCACTGATTTCAGTGGGTATTTGGTCAGACTGTAAAGGTATATTCAAATGATCTCTTTTTTCATTAGAAAAGTGTATATAATCAAGTTAAATACGCACATTGAAAAATTATAGTTTTGTAGTTTCCATCAATAAAAGCACTGATCATGTAATAATCGGGGGTATATGGGGAATGAAAAGCAATAAAATTGCCACATAATCATCATATTTTCTTCAATTTTTTCTCTTTAAATATTTTAATGATTAACAATATTTGACATAGATGACAAGCAGCTATACACACTCAGCACAACAATGGGAAGAGGAGATATGTTGGTCAGAGGCAATGGAGTGAACTCTGTTAAATAATTGTCATGGTATCTTTTGATGTCCCTTCTGACCCAAATATCTATGAATCTATGATGTCTGCTTAAAGCAGAAAGGACACTACTTTTTAAAGCTGTCTTTGAAAGACCCCTTCTTCTTCCTTCTACCCTATCATCCTGTATTGTTTCTTTCAATATAATCGGTCTATACTAAAACATTACATTTTAATTACAGGAAAAGATTGGGTGGAGAAATGACTCTCTACATCTGCTGGTGTTTGTGAGTGATGCTGATTCCCATTTTGGGATGGACAGTAAACTGGCAGGGATTGTTATTCCAAACGATGGACATTGTCACTTGGACCACAATAATGAATATTCCATGTCAACAGTTTTGGTAATGTGCTTCGTACAATTCTTTCATTGTGGAATTTTGAAGTACGGGAAAGATGAATTGGAATATTAATGATTGTGTTCAGTGGTATGCAGTAGGAGTTTGGAAATCCAGTCATTTGATGTCATCCATTTTAATTTTAATCACATATTTTCATAAAATCAAAACTAAGAACACAGCATATTGACATAAGTGATCTCAGAACATGTTATGATTAGAAAAAGTGATACCTCTTACTCCCAATAACTGTTACCATGGGTAACATGTGGAACAGGACCTATTGGCATCCTCTCCTGAGAGGAGAGCAAAAATATGCTTTCATCACATTGTCTTAAAGGAAGTGAATTAAGGAGTGGTTCAGGAATGTGTAGGACACTGCTGAGGTCAGAAAAACATTTCAAACTAAGATTCAAGTGCTCAAACTAATACTGTTATTTAATAGTTCTATTATGGGGATGTTTAGAGGCCCCTGTTAGGATGTGCGCTGTATTGTGCTAGTTGCCTTGCAAACACAAAGGTAAGTAGTGTCCTTGCCTCAAAGAGTTAGTTTTCTCACCTTCTTAAAGTCTAAATTCAAGAATTAAGAGGTTTAAAGAGGATTCCAAAGGCCTGTGTTCCTGTGTGGACTAAAACCTCCTGACCCCAGGCACTGAAGCATGACATACAGGTGGATCACTCAGGGTAACGTGAGCACCAGAAGGAAAGGCTCTATGTACACATACACACTTACTCAGCACACATGTATAATTACATGTTTATATTACACTGAGCACAGTATGAATGTATGTTCATTAAAGATAACATGCAATGTTTTTCATCACTATTTTTTAACTCCTTGGTCCTTTTGTAAAACAGGGATTGATTTGGCTCTCTATATTTGTTTTCAGGAGTATCCAACAATTGGACAACTAACAGACAAGCTTGTGCAAAATAACGTTTTATTAATTTTTGCTGTAACAAAGGAACAAGTTTACTTATATGAGGTGAGGTAACTAAAATTTGTAACTCTCCAGTGTTTTGCTTTAATGTTCCTTTTAATAATGTTTATGTATGAGCTCTTTCATTTTCAGTTTAAACCGATTTTTACCGAAAATTTCCCGGGTTTTACAAAAAGTATTATTCAGTTTATTTCCAATTTTCACCCTACTTTTGTATCATTAAAATATGTAAAAAATAACTTGGTTTTTCAGGAAAATACAATACATTGCATGAGATATGTATTATGATAATACTTTAGTCTGTGTGTATATGCAAAGCCTCCTGTATTAGTCTAGAAGATACACACAAATAAATAGGCACGCATGCAAGCTCTGAATTGTGTGCGCATCTGAACACTGATGAATCTCATGCCACCATGTCCACATTTCAAGCTGTTAGCAGATAATGGTTTAAAGATTTAACTAAAATGGGAAGAAAATGAAAATCTGTATCAAAATACATTTCAGAACATGAGTTTTAAAAAAAAGTTTTAAAAAAAAATAGGAGAAAAGGATGAAGTTGAGTGTATGCACTGCAAATGGTTTGGCCCAATTATTAAATGTAAATATTAATTGTCTAATAGTTCTAAGTCTACAACAGTAAACTTTTTATTCAAATGAAAAGTTTTATTTGGGGATTAGAGATATATTTTTTTCTTAAACTCTGAGGTGGCATTGTGTTTTGAGTTCTGCAGCAAATCACACTGATGAACAGAATTCAAATCATTAATCTACAGAATACTTTTTTCCTCTGTCTTTCCATCCACTAAAATAAACCCTGATATTTACCCAGAAAAATTAATAGATTTTTGCACTGATTTTTACCTGATTTTGTTGTTGTTTGTTTGTTTGTTGTCTGATAAATTCCCAGGAAAAATTAAATAAAATAAAAATTGAAAATGAAGGGCCCTATTTATACAGTACCACTTGAGAAGACTAGCATTGAGGATTCAACCCTGCAAGGTGCATATTTAATCAAAAATATAGCTAGAAAATTAGATACCTGATTTAAAACATCTAAAAACTCAGTTACTTTGAAAGCACCTCACTCATCATGTATTGATTTTATGGTTCTTTATGTAATTGTAAATTGGGTTTTATGTTGAATCACACTGTGAATAACTACTTTTTGAGTCATAGTAGATAAGGATGTTCAACCCTGAAGCTTATCTAAATTGCTCAGCATAATCACTAGCATTAGACAGTTATATCTTAAGATGCTGGGTACTAATACTTGAGGCTGTTTTTTTCTCCTGTGAGACAGGGACACCCCTTGAAACAAAATGTCCTCATGAACTTTTGTTCATCTCTCAGAAAATGTGTTTTCACCTGATCTGAGAGTTTGCTTCCTCCTCTTCAGTCTAAAACTTCTTTTCAGTGAGATAAGTTGGAAGGTAGCAGGAAATATAAAGTACAAAATGACAAAATAGAAGGGAGAATTTCTCCCCTCCCCCTCACATCTAACTGCCTGTATGCACTGAAGGGAGAAAAAACACGTAGCATTGTTTGAAGTGAAGAATACAAGTCTCAGTTACATGAAGACTCTTTTGTTTAAAAAGTCATTGCATGGCAAATGGGAGCAGAGAGTGGAGAGGAGATTAGTCATTTTATTGCAAATGGAACTGGGGCAAGGAGGGGAAAAGATACTTTGCACCACCGTTGTGCATCTGTTCAGGGTTTGGCCAGAGGTAGTTCCATCCCTCAGCAAAACTAAAGCAGCCATAACTTGTGTTTGGCATGCACATCCAGGTACCCCCAGTTTGTCCCCTAGACTGGATCCACTTGGGGATTCTCCTATAGCTGGGGAATTTCCCAGTGACCAGAACCAGTGTATGGAGTGATAGGACAGCCCTGGAGTGGGCCCACAACACTTCAAATTCCTATTTAAAATGATGAGTAAAAATAAGTAGAAGATGGGAGAGAAAAAAAGCCTATCTGTTTCCCGTCTGCAGTAAAACCACAAAAAAGTAATCTGACAGTTCTGTGCTTGATAAGCCCCTTCCCCTCCATTATGAGTTGTTTGTGTCACTGTGGAGCATGGGTGGTGGGTAGAGCCCCACTTTGGGGAGGCTAGCCCCCGGCTCAACCCTTCTGCCCACTCCCCCCCTCCGGAGTCCCGAGACCCCCTGCACTCCCCGCCCATGGCCAGAGGAGCCCCGGGCCAGCCAGAACCCTGAGCACCCCCCTCCAACCTGCCCAGAGGAGCCTTGAGATCCCCTGCACACACACCCCATAGCCAGAGGAGCCCTGGGCCATGCAGAGCCCTGAGCCACGCCTCCCCCCCACACACACACACACTGTCTGGAGGAGCCTTCAAACGCTCTTCTCTTCGGGAAGAGGAACCTGAGCTTTTGATATGCACCATGCAGGTTCCAGGGTGACTGAGGGGGTAGTATGTCTTACTCAGCTTCCGGGGTTCATCAATAATCTCTCTGGAGTCCAGAGGAAGCTGAGTAGCACATACCACCTCCTCAGCTACCCAGAACTTGCATGCGGCATAATAAAAAGCAAAAATTTCCCCCATCAAACCCACAACCAGGTTCCAGCAGCAGTGGCTACGCTAGGAGAGGCTGAGCCTCCCCTGGCCTATTATACCCGCTGCCCATGCTGTAGAGGGAACATGGTAAAAATCTTCTAAACTTTAAATGGCTAAGGAGCCTATGTTGCATTGAAAGTCAGTGGGATTCAGGCTCGTTAAACACTTTTGAAAATTGTACCCATACCCTTATAACATTAGATCTGGAGGATCCATAGAGAAGACAGGCTGTAGTCTCACCTATCCCAGATTACACATGAAGACCTAACCACCCGTGCAGTCCCTGGTTTCAGCCTCCCTGGCAACATGTCTCTCTGATGAGCCATGCTATTGTTGGCCTTTTTCCCTGTGTCCTCTATCCAACTCTGCCAGAACTGGGGTAGAAGTGAAGTCACAGCACAAGTGGGTTAAGGAGAGAGTTAGAAGTGTAGTGTCTTTGGGGATTTTTACAGGGAGCTCTTCCCGCACATAAGGGGCCTTTTCCTCTCTTCTGTTTCACTCTGAGCTGTGCAGTGGGTAGGCACAGAGCCCTCACTAAGAGAACTGTCAGTATCTATCTTATTTTATCATGTATATTTTTGCCCAGATGGGCTGTTGTGAAGAAATTTGTAGTGTCTAAAAATAAATCCTAGATCAGAATTCAGTGTTTGCAGTCTTATAATCTTGATTTATATTGTCATATTATGTTTTCTTTATAATCATAAGCATGGGAGAATCAGACTTCTAGGTCAATATTCTGAGTTTGATTGACACAGATGGAAAATGTGACAATACAGTCCCATTGTTTTAGATATGCCCTTTGATGTTTGTGAAAGCCAGCAGTAAAAGTCTGATATTTTTATTTTGTTTATTATTTTATATTTGCTTTGACTAACTGTCCATCTAACCCGCAGGTTAGTGAGGCTATGTGCAAGGAAAAAAAACAGCAGATACTCAGTTAAGTGACAGAATGCCACATGCAAAAGATGAAAGTGGTAGATAGAATATGTTTAAAAGAATTGCTACATTCTATACAAGACAGAAAATGGTGTCACTTTATTTTTCTGACAAAGTAGAGAACAAAAAGTAATAGATGGATTAACAATGGCTCACATTTTTTGTTAGTTGTAAATCTTAGTATAGAGTTCCCAGAGAACAAAGCATGCCACTTGATAACTTTGATAATGGTATAAAACTGACACAGAGATACTGAAACAGAAAACCTTTGATAAGAATGGTGTTGGCCAGCGCAGACCATGACCACTGGAAAATTCCAAAGGAAACCTTCATGCACTCAGGGAGGGATGCATCTTTTTGGTGCAATAAGACGGTAGATTAAAGAGGAGATGGATAGCTCCAAATTTAGGTGTAGGACCTAATCCAAGGGCCAATTAAAATCAGTGGAAATATTGCATTGGCCATAGGATCAGGCCCCTAGCCAGCAAACCTTAGGTAATGATAGAATTTTAATACCTGCTCTGTGGATGCTAAAAGTATTTAGCTAGTTATACCCTTTGATTATGTAGCTATTTGTTGCAGTGTGATTATACTTGAGTGACTTCTACTAGTTCCTTATCTGTTGCATTCAGAATGCACTATTTCCACTGAGCATGGTGATTGGACTTACCTTAAAAATGTGTATTTTGATTTTTTTTTTTTTGCTTTAATATCTTTTTCTGCAGCCAGAACCTGGGGCTTACTCCTCAAGTGCACCAGAGCAGTCCTTAGTGCACTAAAGCAATGGGAGCAAAATTTGCTTCCACTTTCCCCCTTAACCATGGGTGTAGTCAGAGGCCAATTCAGCAGGCAGCATACCTGAGCTAGCTTTAACCTAGCTATCCCACACAGGTGTCTGCATGGGCTAGCCATCCAGGGTCAGGGTTCCAGACAGGCTTGAGAAGTCTGCACTGAAATCCATGCTGCTGCAGACTCACTCCAATACCCAAGATAGCTAGATTAAAGCTAGCATAGGTGTGTCCACATGAGCTGCAGTCACACCCTGTGACTGCAGCATAGACACACCCCTTTACAGGTATCAAGGAGAAAGAATAGCAAGGTTTAGATAGCTGGGACGTGAGGACCTAAAGAGACGTCCGACTCAAAGATGACACCCGGGACAGACAGGATGGCAGTGTCACTCAGAGTGACCAAGAAAGGATGCAACCAAGAGGGATTGAGGCCAACCATTTAAAGCCCTGTTTTAGCCATGTTGAACTTGAGCTGATGGCTAGACACCCAGGAGGGTGATGTTAGAGAGGCAGGCCAAGATTTTAGTTTGGACAGAAGGAGACAGGTCTGGAGTGGCGAGAGAGAGAGAGAGATCTGTGAGTCCTTAGCATAGAGATGGTAGTTGAACTTGTGTTTGCAGATGGGATTACCCAGAAATGAGGTATAGAAGGAGAAGATAAGGGGACCAAGGACAGAGCCCTGTGAAATTCCCTCAGAAACCTGGTGTATGTGCGAGGGGGAAAGAAGGAAGATCCTCCAAAGGATGTGAAGTAGGAGCAATTACAAGGGTAGTAGGGGAATAAGAAGAGGACAGAGTGCCAGAAGACAAGGAAGGACAGGGACTTGCTTAAGGACTTGATCCTGGTCCACTGAAGTATCATTGACTTCCCTGGGAGCAGGATCAAGCTGCAAGTGTGCATTTTGGCTCCAATTCAGGAAAACACTTAAGTATGTTCTTAACTTTAAGCAAGTGCTTACGCCCCACTGAAGTCAATGAGACTTTAAAATGCATAACCTCTTAGTCTTTCCACAGGTGGTGTATTATCTATTGTTGACAAAGGATGAACTGAAATCCAAGAGTCAAGAAACTAACCATGATCTTTTTCATGAGATCATTTTTATATGAGTTGTGCAAGGGAAATGTTCCATTGTTGTATGGAAGGAGCGGGCACGGGGGGAGGAAACTAAAGAAGGAATTGAACTATTTTGAGGAAAATGGATGATTTTGGTTCCAAGAAACAAGTGTAGGTTAAGGAATGGAAGTCTATTGTGCTTATACAGTCAGAGCTAAGGATTTCTCATTGAACAAAGAGCTCATTATTTAATAAGATACAATAGCAGATGCAGCTGAACCCAAATCATCACTCAGTATATGTAGATGTACTCATCCATAACACCAACAATACCTGTGTGCACTGCTCTGGGCCACTTTATGTAATGACAAAACTTAACTCCACCTGTGAAAGATCAGTTTTCGGCACATCTGGAAATAGGATCAGCCAACCAGTGCTGCCAAGAAACAGGGCACTTCTGACTTCAGTTGGGAGCCTAGTTTCAGAATGTGAAGGACCCCTATGCTCAAAGGTTCATGTCTTTAGTCAAACATTTTGGTGGCACCTTTACAGACAGTAAAAAGAAAAGGAGTACTTGTGGCACCTTAGAGACTAACCAATTTATTTGAGCATAAGCTTTCGTGAGCCACTGTAGCTCACGAAAGCTTATGCTCAAATAAATTGGTTAGTCTCTAAGGTGCCACAAGTACTCCTTTTCTTTTTGCAAATACAGACTAACACGGCTGCTACTCTGAAACCTTTACAGACAATGCCTTACTCAGGCAAAACTTCAGTTGAAACCACTATAATTAAGCCTAATGGAGCTTTCCCTAAATTACATTAGCTTTGCAGGATCAGGCCCAGAAACTTGCAACTGTATTTTATTGTACCAAAAAACATAATTGAACTTGACAGATGATAATTCAGTTTCTAAGGAGGGCAAACACTACACTAGAATTTATCCAGAAGCTCCTTAAATAGTTTGGATAGATAGCATTAGTCTAAAATAAATGTAGTAGTCAAATAATTAAATGTACCTTTATATTTCTAGCTATTTATAATCCCCCTTTAGTTTAGCATGGCATATGTCAGTCATTTATTCATTTAATATTCCAAATCCGCTTCAGATCCAATGTAGGCTCAGACCTACCTCCCACATAGGTGTGTATATTGTTATCTAAAACATGTGTTTTATGTCACCAAATACAGGATGTATGTGCTTATAATATTGCATTCTTGCCATGAATATGGCCAGACATGTCAGTTCCCCTAATTTTAAAATAGCAGTTGTCATGTTGCATGGGAGAATCAAAACTAAAACAGCAAAGTATTACATGACCACAGATGCTTTTAAAGTAGCATTGAACTAGTGGATTTAAATTAAACATTTGCCAAGATTGCTCAAAAGGTAAAACCTGAGGGGCATGGGTGCATGAGGGAGAAGGAAGTTGTTGACAAATGAGGCATGTCAGTTTAAAATAGTTTATAAAAAAAGAAAAGTTCAGGAAAACAAACAAAAAATCCTTCCTCTGGAATATATTCACATATGGCTGACCAAATAATATATCATTATTCTTAGCTGAAAGCTGTTTATAACAGAGTAAGAAATTTATTTCTTTTTAAAAGCTGTTGATTTGAAAATTATTTTTATGAGTATTGTGATGACAGTGAAAGTTTGACAGACTATGTGTATCACATTTAGGGTAGGGGAATCCAATGGTGTTTTAAGTTTTCATGTTTCAGAGTAGCAGCCGTGTTAGTCTGTATTCGCAGAAAGAAAAGGAGTACTTGCGGCACCTTAGAGACTAACCAATTTATTTGAGCATAAGCTTTTCGTGAGCTCACTTCATCGGATGCATTCAGTGGAAAATACAGTGAGGAGATTTATATACACACAGAACATGAAAAAATGGGTGTTGTTATACACACTGTAAGGAGAGGTTTCAGAGTAGGAAATAGTTTTACTTTGTGTAATGACACATCCACTCCCAGTCTCTATTCAAGCCTAATATTAGAACAAAAAGACTTCAAAAACAGACTCCAACAAGAGACTGCTGAATTGGAATTAATTTGCAAACTGGATACAATTAACTTAGGCTTGAATAGAGACTGGGAGTGGATGTGTCATTACACAAAGTAAAACTATTTCCCCATGTTTATTTCCCCCACCCCCCCACTGCTCCTCAGACGTTCCTGTTAACTGCTGGAAATGGCCCAACTTGATTATCACTACAAAAGGCTTTCTCCCCTCCCACCCCCGCTCTTCTGCTGGTAATAGCTCATCTTAAGTGATCACTCTCCTTACAGTGTGTATGATAACACCCATTTTTTCATGTTGTGTGTGTATATAAATCTCCTCACTGTATTTTCCACTGAATGCATCTGATGAAGTGAGCTGTAGCTCACGAAAGCTTATGCTCAAATAAATTGGTTAGTCTCTAAGGTGCCACTAGTACTCCTTTTCTTTTTAAGTTTTCATGAAACTGCTAATTTTGTCTAAAGCTTTGGGTTTCTTCTAATCTTTTTGGAGGTTTGCAAAACAGTTTTTCCTTAAATGAAATAATTTATTTTCAAGGAAAATTATGTTAAAAATCATTCTAATTAAAGCTGAGGAAAAAACAACAAAACTGTCTTTCTAACTAAATGGAATCCTCTGCCATGCAAACAAAAATATTCTTGTGAAGCAATTCTTCTTCTGCTGCTAGACAAAGAGAATACAGTTTAAAAATGAGCTGTTCAAAACTCTCATTTCAGCATAGCCAAATGGCACTAGAAGTTCTCAAGGCTTAAGATCTGTTCAAAAAATATCACCTGGGTCTTCTAAATTTGGCATAGTACTCTTCCACCCTAGGTCATGTCACAAGCTCTGCTCTCATTTACACTGGTGCAAATCATGTGTAACTCCACTGACCTCCATGGAGCAATTTCAAATTAACTCCACTGAGAATGAGTGAGAGCAGATATATCTGTAGATAAAATAAGTCAACTTTTTAGTAAATGCATGCTAAAAAATTGGAAGGTCTATCTGTGTCACACTAGCACTAAAAAGACAACCTGCCGTATCTAATGGTTAACAGTATTAGCCATGCAATCCAAAGCAATCACTCCACACTCAAATGCTTAAATAAATTGGTTAGTCTCTATGGTGCCACAAGTCCTCCTTTTCTTTTTGCGGATACAGACTAACACGGCTGCTACTCTGAAACACTACACTGGTAAATCAGCTCAGAAACTTTATATGGAAAAACATTAAAATATATGCTCAAAGATGGAAACTTTCCTTAAAATCAATCCATAGTCTGCACCTGTGCCTTCCATGGAACTCACACTGTCATCCATGGCATTTTTGTGCACAGAGGAACGGTAGACTGTGGCCCTAAGCCTAGTGTGCACCTACTGTTTATTTTGCATGCCCCAGATAAAAGGCAGTGATATTTTAGATTCCAAACTCTCTAACTCTCATTTATAACCAGTCTGCATAATGCCCATGTTTACAAAATGCACAGTTCTATATTCTAAGAACAATCTTTCAAAGACAGTGCTATAATTCACAGGAGTCAGGCATGCCAAATCACCTGTTGTAACATCAAATGTGTTTAATCCTGCTGATTTACAATAGCACTTTAGTAATGTAATGAATGATAGGTATTTCATACATAATATTTAAAGTAATCATAATACTGGTGGAAGTGCAAAGTATAAAAGGGATGTAAGGGAATCAAATTGTCCATCTTCATTGATTTTTTGAATGTTTTTAATGTTTAAAAAATCAGCATTAGAACAGCAGCTTTCTTCTGCAGAGTTTATCATGTTACCAATTTTCTCTTTTAACTGCCCTTTTCATTATCTCCAAGTAGTCCCATTGACTTCAATAAGCATTGGTTCAAGCCCTAAATGCAATGTAGTAACCACCAGATGAGATTAATATTAGCTACTAGTTCTAACAACTAGCTGTGAGTGTCATGCTACAATGACAGCACTGAGGTGAGACTGGACATTAAATGACGACAATTTTCTTAACACAAACCCAGCATGTAATCAGGGCACTAGGCAGATAATTCTTCCTGAATTATAACTAACCATTGATTAATGTGTGGTATTTGTATTCCAGTCATATAACAGCAGCAAATAGTTCAGAGCCTATGTTCCAGGCTCGCCAATCTCATTCTTATTGAGGCCTTATGTCCCCTTCATCGCTGAGCCCTTGTGCACAGTACACTATATGCTAGTTAACATGTACCGGCCTCAGAAAAGTACAGTTTCTAAAACAAATGTATATCGGGCCGAAGGGAACAACATTACAATAGTAGTAAGAGTAGCAGAATCAGGCTCTGATTATTTTTATTAAAAACAAATAGCACTGTTGAGAGGATATTTTCATTTTAATTGGAGAACACTATAGGGTGAAATTTTCAAAAACTCCTAAGTGACTTGTGCTCCTCCATTGATTTTCAACAGGACTTGTGCTCACTCTGAAGTCACTTAGGTGCTTTTGAAAATCCTACTTATAATTCTTTAGATTGGTAGTTATGGGTTTGGGGGGTGAGGGAGGTTGCCAGCAAGATGGACCATACCACCTATTACGAATTTATGCTTTCAAATTCTTGTTAACAGCTCAAGCCTATATTTTGTACTTGCTCTTTACAGAATTATGCCAAACTTATTCCTGGAGCTACTGTTGGACAACTTCAGAAAGATTCTGGAAATATTCTCCAATTGATCATTGATGCATATAAGGTATGTTTATAACATACTTCTCCTTTTGCATGTCTGCTATTCTCAGATATTAAATTGTGATTTGGTGAAAACAAATCCCGTTGTTTACAATAAGCACATCAGTTGTGCACAGATGCCCAGCATTACAGAAACTTTCCGTCGGTCCTGAAAAAAAGAACACACACGTTCAAATGTTTGAGCATATACATCACACTGTTTTGCAGTGATATTGGAAAACAATGCACTAAGAATGCTATTCTCTGCTTTAGCTATGTGATGGTGCCGCTGTGAGGTTGTTCTAATGTTTTTAAAGGAGGGAATATAGTCACGAAATAAAATTGAATGTGTTTAAGATTATGTGGGGAAATACAAATAGGGACATAAACCTGATGCTGCCTTTCTCATACTGAGAAAGAGGGGCGATCAGCGGGTTATCTCAACTACCTATACACAAATGCACGAAACCTGGGAAACAAGCAGGGAGAACTGGAAGTCCTGGCAAAGTCAAGGAATTATGATGTGATTGGAATAACAGAGACTTGGTGGGATAACTCACATGACTGGAGTACTGTCATGGATGGATATAAGCTGTTCAGGAAGGACAGGCAGGGCAGAAAAGGTGGGGGAGTTGCACTGTATGTAAGAGAGCAGTATGACTGCTCAGAGCTCAAGTATGAAACTGCAGAAAAACCTGAGAGTCTCTGGATTAAGTTTAGAAGTGTGAGCAACAAGGGTGATGTCGTGGTTGGAGTCTACTATAGACCACAGGACCAGGGGGATGAGGTGGACAAGGCTTTCTTCTGGCAACTCGCAGAAGTTACTAGATCGCACACCCTGGTTCTCATGGGAGACTTCAATCACCCTGATATCTGCTGGGAGAGCAATACAGCGGTGCACAGACAATCCAGGAAGTTTTTGGAAAACGTAGGGGACAATTTCCTGGTGCAAGTGCTGGAGGAACCAACTAGGGGCAGAGCTCTTCTTGACCTGCTGCTCACAAACCGGGAAGAATTAGTAGGGGAAGCAAAAGTGGATGGGAACCTGGGAGGCAGTGACCATGAGATGGTCAAGTTCAGGATCCTGACACAAGGAAGAAAGGAAAGCAGCAGAATACGGACCCTGGACTTCAGAAAAGCAGACTTTGACTCCCTCAGGGAGCTGATGGGCAAGATCCCCTGGGAGAATAACATGAGCGGAAAAGGAGTCCAGGAGAGCTGGCTGTATTTTAAAGAATCCTTATTGAGGGTACAGGGACAAACCATCCTGATCTGTAGAAAGAATAGTAAATATGGCAGGTGACCAGCTTTGCTTAACAGTGAAATCCTTGCTCATCTTAAATACGAAAAAGAAGCTTACAAGAAGTGGAAGATTGGACAAATGACCAGGGATGAGTATAAAAATATTGCTCGGGCATGCAGGAGTGAAATCAGGAAGGCCAAATCACACCTGGAGTTGCAGCTAGCAAGAGATGTTAAGAGTAACAGGAAGGGTTTCTTCAGGTATGTTAGCAACAAGAAGAAAGTCAAGGAAAGTGTGGGCCCCTTACTGAATGAGGGAGGCAACCTAGTGACAGAGGATGTGGAAAAAGCTAATGTACTCAATGCTTTTTTTGCCTCTGTCTTCACGAACAAGGTCAGCTCCCAGATTACTGCACTGGGCAGCACAGCATGAGGAGGAGGTGACCAGCCCTCTGTGGAGAAAGAAGTGGTTCGGGACTATTTAGAAAAGCTGGACGTGCACAAGTCCATGGGGCCGGATGCGTTGCATCCGAGAGTGCTAAAGGAATTGGCGGATGTGATTGCAGAGCCATTGGCCGTTATCTTTGAAATCTCATGGCGATCAGGGGAGGTTGTAGATGACTGGAAAAAGGCTAATGTAGTGCCCATCTTTAAAAAAGGGAAGAAGGAGGATCCTGGGAACTACAGGCCAGTCAGCCTCACCTCAGGCCCTGGAAAAATCATGGAGCAGGTCCTCAAGGAATCCATTCTGAAGCACTTAGAGGAGAGGAAAGTGATCAGGAACAGTCAGCATGGATTCACCAAGGGCAAGTCATGCCTGACTAATCTAATTGCCTTCTATGACGAGGTAACTGGCTCTGTGGATGAAGGGAAAGCAGTGGACGTGTTGTTCCTTGACTTTAGCAAAGCTTCTGAAACGGTCTCCCACAGTATTCTTGCCAGCAAGTTAAAGTAGTATGGGCTGGATGAATGGACTATAAGGTGGATAGAAAGCTGGCTAGATTGTCGGGCTTAATGGATAGTGATCAATGGCTCCAAGTCTAGTTGGCAGCTGGTATCAAGTGGAGTGCCCCAAGGGTCGGTCCTGGGGCCAGTTTTGTTCAATATCTTCATAAATGATCTGGAAGATGGTGTGGATTGCACCCTCAGCAAGTTTGCAGATGACACTAAACTGGGAGGAGAGGTAGATACACTGGAGGGTAGGGATAGTATACAGAGGGACCTAGACAAATTGGAGGATTGGGCCAACAGAAATCTGATGAAGTTCAACAAGGACAAGTGCAGAGTCCTGCACTTAGGACAGAAGAATCCAATGCACCGCTACAGACTAGGGACTGAATGGCTCAGCAGCACTTCTGCAGAAAAGTACGTAGGGGTTACAGTGGACGAGAAGCTGGATGTGAGTCAACAGTGTGCTCTTGTTGCCAAGAAGGCCAATGGCATTTTTGGATGTATAAGTAGGGGCATTGCCAGCAGATTGAGGGACATGATCGTTCCCCTCTATTCGACACTGGTGAGGCCTCATCTGGAGTACTGTGTCCAGTTTTGGGCCCCACACTACAAGAAGGATATGGAAAAACTGGAATCTCTCTGGGTACATTTATAGTAATATATTGAGGGTGTTAGTCCCTGTTTTGTTTTGTTTTTCTTTACTTCGCTTTTCTTTATTACAAGCATGTACTTTAACAATTACTACCTTTAAAAAAAACCCTTTTTGTAATTATCATTTCCTGTGCTTTTTTATTCTCGCATCCTTTATTTGTATCATATCTCTAATATGTTCTACAAAATTATTTTGATTTGCAGGACAAAGAAAAAAGTAGCACAAATTATGAAATCTTTTATAATTAATTGTAATAGCTTTTTATACTATGAGTTTCTAATAAACACCAACAGATTTCCTGTAATGTAAAAAAAAAAAATATGACAATGCATTTTAAAATCAATCAATCAAGGACTACTATTGTAACAGACCTGCAGTGAAATCCTGGCCCCATTGAGGTCAATGGTAAAACGTCCAGTGGAGCCAGGATTTCACCTCTGGAGTTTAATTTAGGACTAAGGGTAAATGCCTTCTGTTAGGATTAATTGAGGATGGAATTTTAGGACATAGATACTGTTACCCCACCTTTAATGGATGAAACGCCACTTTTACTTACTATCTGCAAGGGAAGTGAAGCTGGAAAATGGATCCTGGCCGCTCCCACGTTGCTCAGCACTCCACAAAGAGTGGGTAGTTTGAAAAGTACAGGGTTCCTCTGATCAGGGCAGAGAGTGAGTGGAGTGCCAATGAGAGCCTCCTATAGATACCTGTGGTGCCATATATTAATCAAGGCCTCCTGGCTGAGAGACTTTCAGAATTTATTCGTGCCCATTTTATTAATGTTAAAGGTTAATTATTCCATTAGTTTGAAACTCTTTTAAGCACAAAAAGCAAGTTAACACAAACACTAAGAAAATCCTCCTCCCCACCTCCTTGAGGGTAATATTTATTTTGCAGAATATTTTTAATAAAAATGAAGTGATGCCTCACTGAATGAAACACCATTTCCTTATATTTGGTGGGAGCCTAGAAAAGCTGAAATTGTGGTGGGAATAAAGGTGGACTTGTTGAAAATCACATGATTGGGACTTAGAAATTCTAGGTTCTAGTTCCAGCTCTGCCACACTCCTGTGTCACCTTGCAGTGTCTCTCTCTGCCTCAGTTTCCCCATCTGTAAAATAGAAATAATAATAATTACCTACCTCAGAAGGGTGGTGTTAGGTTCAATCTGTGAATGTTTCTAAAATGCTTTGTTCTTTATATGAAATGCACTATATAAACTCAAGTTATTAATATCACTCAGATATATTGGCCTCTAAAATCTTCAGTGGGAGTAAGCAAATTAGGAAACTATGAGCTGTCAAAATATTTGTTGTATAATGTTCTCATGTTCCCCCCCTCCTGCCGCTCCAGTGTGATTCATAGTCTCCAGTAAGCATGTCGCTACTTGCTTTGACAAAGGTTAAATTCTGTATTAGCTTTGTGTCTTCAAATATTCAAGTTGCATAATATCTGAAATCAAGCCTGTTGATCCCCAAGTTATTCCAGCATTCTTAAAAATACAAAGAATTCTGTTCTCTCCAGCACCCACGTCTCTTTTGGCTTACAGGGTAAGAAAGATTGAAGGAATAATATTTTAAAAAGACCAGGGACCAGTTTTGATCGAGGGAGCTGCTGGCAAAGGCTCAAGTTTGTAACACTGCTGATGTCTGTTTCATTCAGGAATTCTTTTGAGTTAAAAGTGCTTCTGCAGGAACGTTTTAATGCTCACTGTACTTGGGAGCCAGATTCTGATCCCAGTTATGCCCATGTAACCCACTAGATGTGAGTCTTCTCTTAAAGTCATGGAGGTGAATACAGGGTGGAGTTTGACCCTATATTTCCATTCATTTTCAGCTGAAGGTGATACATATTTTTAATTTAAAAAAACATTTCACAAATAGAAAATGGAGACATGGTGATAAAGATCCATCCCATCCATCTGACCAAAAGGATAATGGGCTAATGCACAGCAGCATTTAATTTGTACTTACAATTACAATTTCACTTTTAAATAGTTTTGCCGTGCTGCACCTCAGTTTCAGCCCGGGACCTCCAATCTAGCTGATGGAGTGAGTAGTTGAAAATAAGCCTATTGTGTGGTACATCTTATAAAGTCTGCATTGCCAACTCTCCTTATTTTAGCATCATTCTTATGGTAGCTGAGGCTTTTGTTAGAGCCCCGGCTGCTGGAATCTGTTACTGTCTGAGAATCTTTGGTTGGGGGGGGGGGGGGGGGCAGGTTGTTTGTTTTTAAGGAATTTTCTTGCCTTCATGGCTGCAGAGTAAAGCTTCACCATGTGACCCTAAACATCCCCACACCAGATGGCAAGTCAAAAGAACACAAAATTTATTATTTTTAATCTCATGATTTTTAAGCAAATCTCATGATTTTCCGGGGCTGGACTCATAATTTTTGAATGCTTGGAGTTGGCAATAATATAACTTGCACTAAGGGTTACCGTAAGTCCCTGTCCCCTCCCTATATGTGCACACAAGACCTTGCTGGCAGCAGAAACTATATAGTTCCACTGCCTGGAGAGGGAAGAATTTGGGGATGCCACACACGGATTGCACAGAACCTGCCAGCTGAATTAGAGCCCTCTAAGGAGGTTCGTTTGTGCTTCCAAACAGAGAAGGCTGGGGAACAGCAGAGCGAGAGGATGTGCCAATCTTCCTGCTTCAGAGGGAGATGCAGGCAGCACAGAGGCTACTTCAGCCTTGGGCTGGAGTAGCAGCAAGGAGGGAGAGATTGCATCCCATGCAGTTCCCCAACTTGATCCTCACTGCACAGCCTTGTTGCTCAAGCTGTGTGCTGTAGAGTGGATTTGGAGCTAAAGGAATATATTAAACATCTTGCTTAACAAATGTGCTGCTATCCTTTATCTTATTAAAATAATACCTCAGTGAGGTTTTTCAGATGGAAAGATATAATTAAAATGAGGTAGATAAACAGACAATGTAGAGAATCCAAAGCTTATACAAATGAGACAGTTATGCAAATTTATACATATTCCACTTGAAGTTTCAGCTAATGCCCATTGCACCTAGTCCTGCAAACCTGTACTCAAGTGAGTGGTCCCATTCATTAGGATGACTCACCTGACAGTCTCCAGGGAATTTAAGAAAAAGTGGACATTTTCAAAAGCATCTAAGGAACTTAGGAACACAAATCCCATTGGAAGTCAGTGGGGCTTGTGCTCCTAAATCCCTTAAGCGCTTTTGAAAATTTCCCATCAAACGGATTATGTAATCTGAGGTTTAGTCTAATGCACGCTATTGATTGAATTAGAAATCCCATTAAAGTCCACAGGAGTCCATCTTGCCACCGTCTTCAGTGATCTTTGGATTAAGTCTCAGTATATTTTCAAAAGTGTAATACAAAAACATTTAAGAATGAAAACCAGAAAGCAGAGTTTGAGGGAGCGCAGGGAGCAGCATGAAGAGTCTCTCTTCCTAAAGCAACAGTAGCATAATTTCTGGCATTACTGAATCCATTTTGAAATCCAAGCAAAAGCTCATAAACTGAAAGAGTTTCCACCTGGGGAACAGACGAAAACAGGAAGAAGAAGAAACTTAGATTTACACAAGGGAGTGAGCCAGAGCCAAAGGATTAGGGCTGGCTTTGGTACTGGAAAGATAGGGCCAAATCCTGGAGTCTTTTCTCTGGCTATTCTCAGACAAAACTGGGTGTCATGCCTGAGCAAAGACTGCAAGGTTACATGCTAAATAAGGAAAGCTACAGTGTTAGCATAGTGATCATATAAATTCCTCAATAAGGCTAGGGCTAAATTAAAACCTGCAGAAGGGAGCAAAGTACTTAGAAATGAAAGAAGACTTATTAGAGCATTAAGTACATTCCCCTACAAGTGCAGGATATGGTCATTCTGGGTATCAGATATTCAGCTGATATGGCAGTCGACTTTGGCCTAAAGGCCAATACTTTGTTCATTTTCCATTTTTCTTGTAAGAAAGAAGTATGTAAATAAAGTATCAAAATCCGGAATTCTTTACTGCACAGATACAGTTGTGTTTTTCCAATATACGTCACAAAGACGTGGAGCATTAGCAACCATTGCATCCATCGTGTTCCTTTTCTTTCAGGAGCTGCGATCTGAAGTGGAGCTGGAGGTGTTAGGAGACACAGAAGGACTCAATCTCTCTTTCACGGCAATCTGTAACAATGGTACTATTTTTCCACGCCAGAGGAAATGTTCCCATATAAAAGTGGGAGACACAGTAAGTAGATAACAGATTCTCAAATGACGTTCATTCCTGTAAAACTGAGAGAGATTTTTAGAACACCAAGGCAGAAATCTTGCTTCCTTTATTTAATAAATCTCTTCCAAACAAATTGAGAGTTATTAGGCAACACCTAATAAATTCTTGTTCTTGGCTGTGCATTATATTTCCAGAGTATTCTTTGCATTTAGTATGCTGCAGCCATGAATGGTTAATATATTTTCTTTTCCAGGTCTCTTTCAACATGACAGTAAGCCTACCTTCCTGTGAGAAAAGGCGGAGGCAGATTGTAATAAAGCCTGTCGGCCTGAGTGATGCCCTGGAAATTGATATTCAGCTAGAATGCAGCTGTAACTGTCAGAAAGAGGCTGAGATGAACAGTTCCAAATGCAGCAAAGGAAAGGGCTCTTTTGAGTGTGGAGTGTGTGCCTGCAACCCTGGCTACATGGGTCCTTATTGTGAATGTAATGAAAACTCCCTGAGCACAAATTCCTGTAAAAGGTCTCCAGGGCAGAGCTCCTGCAGCGGGAGAGGTGACTGTTACTGCGGGCAGTGTATTTGCCATTTCTCTGTGTACGGAAATATTTATGGGCCATACTGCGAATGTGACAATTTCTCTTGTGTGAGATTTAAAGGAGTGCAATGTGGAGGTATGTCCCCCTTAAACTATTTTTAAAATCTATAACCTTTTATGTAGATGTAACCCTCATTATAGGAGTATTTCCAGATGTGAGCTAATTTCATGGTTTTGACATTTGTTTTCATTCCACATCAGCATGAAATCAGGACCTTTCAAAAATTTCTGCAAAAAAATGAGAGAGAGAGATCCCTTCCCACCCCAGAATACCCCACAGCCCAGTGGTTATGGCACTCACCTGGCATGTGGGAGTCCCAGCTCATGGGTCTTCCATATGCCAGGTGAGTGCCCTAATTGTGATGCTATAGCAGCAGTGTCTCAATCTTTCCTGTTGGAGCTCTTCCATTTTCTACAAATAAATAATTAAATATTTATTGGACCAGAGAGAATGAGGGACTGTACCCCAGTGGTTAGGACAAGTTCCTGTGTCTCCCACATCCCAGGTGAGTGCCTTAACCGCCAGGCTATTGTCAACTCCAGAGTGTGTGTGTCTCATTTTGTCATTTCCAGATCTGTCCCCAAAACTGTAACATTTCTCTTTTTGATAATTATCCAAGTATGCCCTCCTGTATTTAATCCCTTTCAGCCTGATTCAGATCTCACACTGGTTTTATACCAGTAATGCCAATGATATAAGTGGAATTGCTCTTGATTTACACCAGTGTCAGTGAAGTAAGAATCAGGCTCTTTATATTTCTTTTCTTCTTCTGGACTGAATTCTATCTGCTACTGTGTTGTAATCCAGAACAAGTCCATTAAAAACAATGGGAATAGAGTTAAACTGGCATCTCTTGAAGTAGCACAGTAGTGAATCAGATAGGTTGGAGTTATCCCAGTGTCAATGAAAAGACAATTTGGAGGATCGAGTCTTATCTCCCACCCACATATATCAGGAGTGACTCCATTAAAGTGAATAGAGTTGCACTAGTTTAAGTGAGATGCGAATCAGGCCCTTTATGTTTAACTATACATTGAAAAGGGTGGGGGTTTTAAATATGAGAGGTGCTGGTAGTAATGAAAATGTGCATTCTGAAATAGAATGCTTGTAATGATTTCTTCTGTCACTTTTAAATGAAAACACTAACCTGGCAGGATAACCATTACTTTTCTAGGTAATGGTGACTGTGACTGTGGTGAATGTGTATGCCACAGGGGATGGACTGGTGAATATTGTAACTGCACAACTGACATTAACTCCTGTGTTTCTGAGGATGGAATACTGTGTAGTGGAAGAGGTGAATGCATTTGTGGAACATGTGTTTGCACAAATCCCGGGGCCTCGGGTAGCACATGTGAAAGATGCCCTACGTGTGGTGATCCTTGTAGTTCCAAACGGTAAGGTACTGTTTTTACCATGTTTGTATTTTCTGCTTCATTCAGACGTGTACAGTATATTAATAGCTCTGGGGTGCTATTCCCACCACATTTTTCTTGGGTGTTGGTCCTAGAACCTAAGGGCTTCTCTGCTTCTTCTGTGCAATCTAATCATAATGCAGAAACCAAACATTTCTCAGCATTGATCCGCTAGATCTCAAAATGAACTTTAGGAAAAATACTTCCCCTAGTTTCAGCTGGCACAGAGCACCATGTCACATTTCCACTTCTGCTACTTGGTTGTACAAAGAAGCCCCATGATGAATTCAGCTGAGCAATACTGACATCTGTTCATGGAACAGAACAACAACACCGCAGCATAACCAATATCACAGAAAGAAAAACAGACAGGGAAGGAACATATAATAAAGTTTACAACATGACTGTTATTTTATTTATGTCTATGGATTCATTAGGCTAAGTTCTGCTCTCAGAAGCTACACCAGCTTTACACATATATAGCAACCCAAATACCAAATTCAGCTAAATGCTGCGTGGATTAAGCAGGTCCAGCTGCTACAGGTGTGATGGATGAGTTCAGTGGAGATAAAAGCAGTGGTGTAAGTTATGCATCAGGTATAAGCCGACCTGAGACTGATTGTAAGTGGCAAAGAGGCACTGATTTCACCTTCATTGAGATATGCAAAAGATATTGCATGTGAGGGTATATCAGTAAAAGCATCTAAAAAGAGGGTAAGAAAAGCAGAGCCTCTAAACACACACATTCATATGCCTGCACTATCGCCAAATTTTCCAAGGATAAATTCAGCCTTGATTTAAGTAGGCATAACTGCCCAATTAGGCAAGGTGCTTGAATTGCTCCCCATAGAATACCGTAGTGGTGCAAAGTACATTTGCACGTTCATGGAGTGCTGAATCAGTGCAAGTTACATTAAAGTATCGCTACTCTGCTACTTACATTGGTTTATACCTGAGGCCTGCTTCTTCTCCCACAATGTCTTTACCCCTTTGGAATTCCATTGCCTTATTCTCAATATAGCATTGTAAATGAGAAAGGAACCAGTTCCATGATGTGTAACTTACACCACCATGGCTCTGTACAACTAGTGGATCAGGTCCCAAAAGGGCAATACAGTTTGCTCAAGACTCGCATGCATGGGCTAGGTGCATAATATTTTGAGTAAACATAGCCCTTGAGTATAAGTACGTTATGCAGTAAATATATCAATCTGTTTATACTCTAATTCAGCAGACTAATAGGAGATATATAGTTATCTGATGGGCATTTAGTTAGTATATTAAAAATATATTCCACATCATCCATTTGTCAGAACTTTTTCATCTTTCCTCTTTCTCTGTCACTGCCATGACAGCTGAAACATATGGCTGGAAAAGCCAAGAGAGAGAAGATGTGGAAGACATGGCTAAGTTAAGAGACCAGGTCAGAGGGGACTGAGACATGGTTAGGCAGCTGAGAAAGTAAGGGCAGTAGTTTGAGAAACATGGCAAATATGACCAAAACACCACCAACACTGAATGTATCTACATTTGATAGCGACTATCCCCTTACCCACTCATGTAGTCTATTCACTGCTTCACTTGTGCGTGATAAGGTCACCCCATCCCATGAAAAGAATCACAGAACTCTCAGCATTATTCTCATGGAGGTATGTAATTCAATGCAACAATTGTGATGGCCAGTTTCTTTTTAGATAGTTAGTCCTATAGAGTTGTTCTTCTCAGAGTCTCAGCCTCTGAATCCAGTCAATGCTTTAAACCTAGAATTGTTCCAATATACTTTGCAACAACAATTTTCTTATGTGAACTTCATTTATGTATTTTCTTTATTCCGCTAGTAGACTCTAGACCCACTCCAGGTCCCATTGAATCACTGGGAGACTTTCTATTGACTTCAGCAGGAGTTGGATCAGACCCCGAGTTTGTTTTTAAATATTCCAGTCATTGTACAAGTAAATAAAATAAATAAGATATTTTGAAGTTACTTTTGCCAATAACTTGCATCAGCTTAATTAGTATCTATGTTAGTAGCTCCTGAGACAAGTGAATCATATTTGAGAGACATCTGTTAAGATACCTAAACATGTTTTTAGTCACTTGGTAAATATAACACGTTACTTAAGAGATTTTTAAACATAGGGAGATTTATATTAGGTTCCCAGCCTCCTCACATATTAGTCCATTTGGTAGACATTCTTCTGACAAGTATTTAGTGAAGGCTTAATTCAGAACCTTTATCTTTAAAAATGAATGCTATGTATGAGTAACCCCATTTCTTTAGCAGACATACATGAATAATGTTGCCTGGGGTTCTGTCTGGTAACTAACAAGAGCTTAGCAAGAAAAAGGGCAAAAGAGTACTTAACTACAGTACCTTTATTCAGGGGTTTTCTTGAGGCAATACATATCACATTTCTGAGAACTACTGTATCTCTAGCACAAGACCTTTTGTTGGCTTCTTTTTAAAAAGTAGACAGCATATGTATTCCTCTTTATATTTGTGCTTTGCAACAGACGGCGATTGATGAGCTTTTGAATTATTTTTCACAGGAGCTGCATAGAGTGTCATTTGGCTTCTGATGTCCAGTCACAGGCAGAATGCAGTGAAAAATGTAGATTAGTTGATGCAACTGTCAACAGTGCAGAAGGTTTGTACATCTTTTATTTAACTGCCTTTTGTTGTCTGCCTTGTTAATTGTAGCTTCATTTTTCATTAGTTTTACATAAAGGTATAGACAATATCTGAAAATTACTGCAGTACATACATAGTTTTTTTCCATGGGATTGGCTCCAAAAATTATACTGGTTATTTGATCCTATCACTATCTATCAACATATACAGTACTGCACTGAAAAGATCCTTATTAATAGCAGTCAGAACTATCTATTTATCCCTTCAGATTAATTAACTCACCACTATACACCTAGTTTCCTAACAAACTTTTGAAAACTATAATCCACCTATGGCTGAATTTTAGTCTTATGTGCCCTAATACAAACTCCCAATGAATCTAGGTGTAAAATTATACCCAACCCATAAGTTTCATTGTGATTTCGGCCCTCAGATGCATATGCAGTGATCCCATTGAAGTCCATGAGAACTTCCAGGACAGAAATTGACCTTGAATAAAATATTACCCTCATAGACAAAGAAATAAAACTTTAAACAAGACCGCTAAGCAATATCATTGCTTTTTCTAAACATAAATACACACAAATACACATACATGGTTTTGTCTGTTTCTTCAGATTGCCTGCTTTGTGCACTTGGCAGTGCTCTATGCAGAGTCCGTTTCACTTCCTACTTTTTAAGCACTAGCGTCACGTTTATAAGCGCTGTGCAGGAAGCTCACTTGAATGTTCTTGTCCCTACGCTCCAACAGGGCGTCAATATAACACAACAACTGGTGGAGGTGCTGAAGTTTCTGAGTTTATATAGGTGCTACTTTATGCTACTGTTTTCCATGGATGAAGAGAAATTGTCAAATTAATGTTAAGTATTAAAAATTGTAAATATCTAAAAATGCTGAGGTAGTTGCAAAAATCTGTATGTCCCACAGGAGCCAGAGAAGGAAACTGAGGAAAGGTCAAGAAGGCATGTGTCCCTCCATGTAGCTAGGTATGGAGCTACAAGCCAGGGAGCAGGGTTAGGAGGAACATACTCACCCAGCTTATGGAGTCAGGCAGAGAAGAGGATCAGGGAAATGAGCTGCAGATTGGGGAGAGGGCCCGGCACTTGCTATGAGCTGCATCCCTAAGGCATATGCACAGCCAGGGTTCAGTGTGTTCTCATACTTCTCCCCTAACTGTGCTCCGCACACACATCCTATCAGGTCTATACATGTTCCCTTACTCTTTGTATGAGTCACAATAAAGCAATTTTAAAAGCCCAGGACAGTATGATTAGAAAAGAACTCAAAGGAGCATAAGCGGCAGATCTATTTGCAATTTTGTCCCACTTTGGCATAATTAAGAACATTTAAGAGGAGGCACCCCTTTAAAGGTGTCAGCTTCCCATCTCAGTGCAACGTAAAGCTAAGGCACTAATCCTATAGTCCTGCTGCCTAGGGTGAACCTTGCATGCTACCTGACCCAGTACAATGTTGAAACACTTCAGAAGGCATAGCTAGCAGATCGAGGGACGTGATCGTTCCCCTCTATTCGACATTGGTGAGGCCTCATCTGGAGTACTGTGTCCAGTTTTGGGCCCCACACTTCAAGAAGGATGTGGATAAATTGGAGAGAGTCCAGCGAAGGGCAACAAAAATGATTAGGGGTCTGGAACACATGAGTTATGAGGAGAGGCTGAGGGAGCTGGGATTGTTTAGCCTGCAGAAGAGAAGAATGAGGGGGGGATTTGATAGCTGCTTTCAACTACCTGAAAGGGGGTTCCAAAGAGGATGGCTCTAGACTGTTCTCAATGGTATCAGATGACAGAATGAGGAGTAATGGTCTCAAGCTGCAGTGGGGGAGGTTTAGATTGGATATTAGGAAAAACTTTTTCACTAAGAGGGTGGTGAAACACTGGAATGTGTTACCTAGGGAGGTGGTAGAATCTCCTTCCTTAGAGGTTTTTAAGGTCAGGCTTGACAAAGCCCTGGCTGGGATGATTTAACTGGGAATTGGTCCTGCTTCGAGCAGGGGGTTGGACTAGATGACCTTCTGGGGTCCCCTTCCAACCCTTATATTCTATGATTCTATGATTCTAAGAAGGAATTAAACTGGTGCAGCTGGAACAGTTTTCGTAGTGGGGATGCTGAAAGCCATTGAACAAAACTGTAAGACCTGTGTATGATGGAAACTACTTCAAGCCAGGGAGTGCTGCCACACCCCTAGCGTCCCTAGTTCCAGCACCCCTGAACTGATGTGTACATTTTTTATCCTTATTCTTCAGATAAATTTGTTTTTAAAATCAGCTCCTTACTGTTATTTTATTTAAATTCTTGTTTATTTTTTGAGATGGGGAGCAGTAGGGATACCTTTTTAAAAAGACAAACAAGAAATTTTCCAGATGACCTGATTAATGCTGCAATCTAAAACTCTTTTTGCATCCACTAGCATGTCCAGGAACCCATTGAGGTTTAACTGAGTTTTGTGTGTTCTCAGGGCCCAGTTCTCCACTGTGTTATTGCAGTTTTATACTGGTGTAACTCCATTGATTTCAAACTCTGCTGAAATCAATGGTGGTATGCTGGTATAAAACTGGAGTAATGTAGTGGATCATGGCCACAGATTCCATAATTAGTGCAAATTACAAATGTCTACTAAACATATTTTTGTGTTGTCTTGTTGTTAAAAGCTCAGTGTGCACTACAGTGGGCTGTATTGTGATACAGGAGGGCCAGGGAGCAGTGGGAGAGTGCTAGATATATAAACTTAAGGCTAATTAAGGTGTGGTTCTCTGTAGACTAGGGAAGGTGGCTGCAGATTAATTGGAGCACCTGCAGTCAATTTTATTAGGCCCTGTTAGGAACCTAATAAAACCCCCTGCATCAGGCAGACAGAGGAGGAGGAAGGAGAAAGGACTGGAGCTTGGAGGTATGTTCAGAGATTTGGAAGACCTGAGAATTGGAGTAAGGGAGACCCTGCCCAGCAGGACAGAGAGACTCCCTCCCTCCCGCATCTAAGGACGGAGGGTAACCCCCACCTAAGGGGGATGAGGGTAAGAAACCAACAGGGGTTGAGAGAGGCTGGGACTCAGAGCGAGGAGCAAACCCAGACCCCTCCCCCCGCTTCCCTCCTCTATCACCTTCCCGGGCTAGTAGCGGGGCCCTTGGCACCCAAGAGCAGGGGCAAAGGGGGGCATCTTAGCTCCCCACCAAGAAAAGCGCAGGACCCACCAAACTAAAATCGGCCATCTTGCCACAGTATGAATTTTTTAAAAACCTAGATAATACCTAGTGTTAATGACCTCATATACTAAAACAGTGGGACACCTTGGAGGAGGAATGAATATATTCAGTGTAAGTAAAATTTAAGAAATTAAAGCAGTGTTGTCAAAACTCTGGAGTCAAGCCCTGAAAAATCCTGAGCTTAGTTTGAGTTATGGCATTTTTAAAAAGTAATACATTTGGGGTTCCTTTTATTTGCCTTCTGGTTCTTGAGCCTTTTTGAATGCACTTGGGTCACATTTTTCAAGCTTTTCTTTACTGTACTGAGAACTAGAAACTTACTTTTTTTTTTTTAAATGAAAACTGAGATTCTCTTGTAATCACTTGACTATGTGGCCATGTTGCATCCCTATGTCTGATATAAATAAATGCCAAATTATATGAAAGTATGTGATACGTAGTAAATGAAAGTTGACATTTTGTATGTACAATAGCTTCCTTTAAAATTCCATTATTGTAAGCCAAATTCATTCTTTCTTTGTTTCCTTTTTTGTGATTTGGATGTTTGAGAGGTTTAGGTTGATCTATTTGGCACTCCTTACTCAGCCAAACTCCCAGGAGTTTTGTCTGAAGGAGTGGTGAATAGAGCCTTAAACACCAATAACATTTCATTTTTAAAAATCCATTTGACAAACTTCTAGTTTTCTCACATCTATCTAAAAATAACAAAGACCGACAGGCTTCTTTTAAAAATTCATTAAAAGTAAAAGCTAATTTTTAGAGCTGAGTTATATAGTGTAAATGTCGTGAAACTGTAGTTTATAACAGAAGCAACAACAGATGTTCAGCTATAGAGGAGTTAGCAGGCGTTGCTAAAATTAAGGGTATTTTCTAAATATAAAGATATTATATAATGTTAGAATTGGAATTGTGGCACTTCTGGAATTGGATATACAGTCTCAGATTCCAATCATTTTACTTCTTCTTTGCTGTCTGCCACAACTATTCATTCCCACCCCTCACCTCTTGAATGAACTCACCATGAAAGGTTCCCTACTTCGGAAAGGTTTGAAAAAAACCTGGATTAAGTTTTCCCACACAAATACATTAAGTGAAGGGGCAAGTAAAGCTGGGCAGATTGTCATAATGGATTACTTTTGTACCTGCCTTCCTCTAAATCACATTACAATGATCCCACAACTACAGTTTTCTGTTATTAATTTATATTTTATTATTGTCACGATACATGCCACAGTATTCTTTAGGAATTGCATTGTGGAAGGAATAAATGGTAGTCCTTTTAAAGGTATCAGTATCTGTTTGAAATGTGACTATCTACTTCTGAAACGTAATCTAGACATACTACCAGTAGCTCTAAGCCAAAGAGAACATATTGTTTACTTTGTACTAGAATCAGGGCTATTCTATTCCCGAGACAAATGGTGGAAAGTGTCTTGGAAGTATTTGCAATTCACTGAAATTCACACTGCAGCAGATTGATAGGTGCACTTGATGGTCAGTGCAGATTGACAACACCTGGACCTACTCTTCTGAAACATACGTGGAAAATCTAAAACAAAAACAAAAAGCCATTTAGAGTGGAAGAAAAAGTTGTTAAATATAGCGGACATTCTTAGGATATTTCTGCAGTTCTCTTCCTGTCTTTACTATATGGTGAAAAGGCCATGACACATATTAATCCATAGTCTCTCTTTTTATTACATGTTAAATTGCACTTGACCTACTGGGTGGCTTTTTTTTCCACAGATTTCTCAAAGGATAAATCTATTCCCTGCTCGTTACAAGGGGAAAATGAATGTGTTACTACATTTCTAATGGCTACAGATGAACAGGGAAGGACAATCATTCATAGCATAAAGCAGAAAGGTGAGTTGTTAATATCACGTTTTTAATATATACACATTGTGAATTAAAAGTACAGCTGGGAGAATCAAGCCATACATATTGGAAGATTAGCAAACTGAGATGTTACGTACAGTACTGTGTTTTCTTGTGTTAATAGTCTTTCTCTACCTAACCAAAAAAAAGCACCTTCTAAAATATTTCTTTCATATGATGTTGAAATGAGACATGACTGTTCTTGCAATACTAGCAGTATGGACTAGTGGACTGAGCACAAGGCTAGGAGCGAGACATTGCTGATCTAAATCCAGCTCTGACTCCCTCTGTGGCCTTGAGGCAAGTCACTCTCTCTCTGTTTCAATTTTCTTATCTGTAGAGTTTGGATAACATTTAATTCTCTACAACACAGAAGTGATGTGAGGATAAGTTAGTTAGTTTTTTCAAAAGTACTATGGGAGTACTAAACATTATGAAAACGATGATGATACCAAATACCATCACATTACATGACAAATTACCTGTAAAATCTTATTCATATAGATACAAAAATTTTTAATAGATTAACAAGTATCCATAATAGCTACACTAGACATGATGAAGCAAATATTTTATATGATGTGCAAATATTTTTAAAATCATGCCTAGCCCACATAATTACATTTAACACAGCACTATTACCAAGTTTTGAATGATTTTCACAAAGTTACCCTAGATATTGAACAGTTATTTTTAATAAGGTATGTCCTTTCATTTAAAAATATTTCTTTATCTATTGTGTTATTTGTCTTGTCTTGTCTTTCATTTAAAGATCCTAATTATGTGGGACATGAGAGAACACACTCTTCTTCTCAATTACTAGACAGGCTATTTCCAGGCAGACAAATACATTTTTGGACACACCTAGGGTTGCCAACTTTCTAATGGCACAAAACCAAACACCTCTTCCCTCTGTCGCTCCCTCTCCCCGACCCTCTCTCACTTTCAAAGGGCTGGGTCAGGGGGTTGAGGTGTTGGTGCGGTGTGAGGGCTCTAGCTGGGGGTATGGGCTCTGGGGTGGGGCCAGGAATGATGGGTTTGGGGTGAAGGAGAGGGCTCTGGGCTGGGGTAGGGGGTTCGGATATGGGGGGTCTGGGTTCTGGGCTAGGGGTGGGGCCAGACATTAGGGGTTCAGGTTATGGGAGAGAGCTCCCAGTTGGGGCAGGGAGTTGGGGTGTTGGGAGGGTGCAGGGTGAGGGCTCCAAGAGGGAGTTTGGGCGTGGGACCGGACTCTGGGCAGGGGGTTGGAGTAGGGTCCCAGTGGTGCTTACTGCGGCTCCCAGGAAGTGACCGCCAAGTCCCTGGGTGCTTGGGTCGCCAGGGAGGCTCTGTGCGCAGCCCTCGTGCCCGCAGGTGCCGCCCCTGCGGCTCCCATTGGTTGTGGTTCCCGGTCAATGGGAGCTGTGGAGCTGGCAGTTGGCGCAGGGGCAGCACGTGGAGCCTCCCTGGTCACCCATGCACCAGGGAACACAAAGACAGTGGCTGCTTCTGGGAGCTGCGCAGACCTAGAGCAGGCAGGGAGCCTGCTTTAGCCCCAGGCCCCCGCTGTGCCGCCAACTGGATTTTTAACAGCCAGAGCTAACTGGAGCTGCCAGGGTCCCTTTTCAACTGGGCAGTCCAGTCAAAAACCAGATGCCTGCCAACCCTAGACACACCCAGTGTCTCACTGCTAAAAGTTAGTTACATCATTAAGGAAAGCACTGCACATGCTTGCTTTCCTTCTGGCAGTATAACTTGAGGTTTGGAAAAGTTCTCCAGCCATTCATCTTCTTTATTAATTCTGCGTGCAGTGTTTCTGCAGTATCTGTCTCAGGAATTAAAGTGATTGCACTGGAAATAATCAGCTACTTCTGTAAGAATATTATTGTTTAATAATAGTAGTGTGCCATTATATACAGTAGCTTTATACCAAAGAATGTTGCAACAAAGCTTTACAAAAAAGATGGAAGGTATACACGTGTAAACTGCACTTGCCAGATTCAAGATCATAAAATATTTTCATAGCTGTAGGATAGTCTCTTTATTAAATATATTTACTGTGTTTATTTAAAAAGGATTGATAGAAATAGCTTAACACAGGCACACTGCATGCAAATGCTTTGGAGCATTCCCCACAGAATTCTGACAATAAACCTAAATTCTAATCTGTTCCACTTCTGAGCCTGTCTCAAGCAGAGGAACAATTATGCTGTGGTTTTGTGATGTATGCAAATGTGAAATAAGATGAGAACACCATGAACACTCCAAAGCTCATTTTCACTTGTGGATCTGAAGTTCAGTCTGTACGAACAGCTAATGCCTTCCTTCAGTGTTCAAACTAGACCTCTCAAAATGAGTTGCGTAATGACATCAATCAAAATAGTCATGCAAAATAAAATGTGAGTAAATTATGCCAAACTGAAATGAATTCTAAATGTCATCAGACCATGGTTCAGAAGAAAATTTCATAAAATAGTAATTTACTTTTATGAGTAATACTGGTTAATATTAAAATGATCCTTTAATTGAGAGCTGACAAAAAGAACATGCCCTCTTGGCTTTACAAGCCTATTATTATGTTGAGTTCTAGAAAAAAAATCTATCCCAGAATAATACTGATTTTCTATTCTAAAATGCCCATGTTTGATCTAGGATTGCTAGCTAGCATTTATAGAACAACAAAATGAAGCCATTTAAAAAGTGGTATTGAACTTCTAGCATAGTAACAACTTACATTCACCATGGAAATGAAAGTGAAACATTTCCAAAAATGAGGTGTCTAGAATACTTCTGTCTGGTTCAAAGATGTTAGTTCCTGTTTTTAAACACAGGCACCCTAACAACTTTACAAATCCCACACCTGAACCCTTGTAATTAGCAACCAGATGTGTATAATGAACATATATGCACTGAAGTACCAAACTGAGCAATCAAATGTGTTATTCTGAGTCCTACTTAGGTGCTTTTGTTTGAAAATTGGGCATCTGATTTTATCCAAAATTGGGCAATCTCCTTATCCAATACTTCAGCTTACCTTCACTCCATCTTTACTCATGAGGTTTGGTCACTGAATGAAAAGGACATGACCATTTCAGATAGGGCTGACAATGACATCTGTTCAGAACTCAGTGGATTCACGTGGGCAAAACCATGTCTGTATTTTTATGAGTATATTCAAATCAATGGAGCCCAAGACAAAGCAACTTCAGTTTAGTTTCTAGGGGTCTGATCTGCCCAACTGAAGTCAATGAGAGTTTTGTCATGGACTCTAGTGGGAGCTAGGTTAGCAATACTGTTTACATTATGGCAGTGGACATAAGAAAACAGCAGAAGTCTTTCTATATCTCATTTAGACCTGTGTGAAAAATGGAAATTCTGTTTTGCAGAGAATTTTGATTCAAAATTTGGCTTCACTCTGAATCAGAACAAAACCTGAACATTTCAAAATGCTCCATGAAGGAAAATTCCAGAAAAATAATCATTTTGGACCAATCGGAGCATTTTGTTTGGACAAAATCAAGATGTTTCACTGATATTATGATTTTTTAAAAAATGTTACATTATATATTGTAATATAAAGGAATCATACAGGGTTTTAAAAATTCCAAAGTTGTTTCAATATAAAAAATTGAAATATTTCATCCTGAAAATGTTGAAATGAGACATTTCAACGTTGTCTGAACTTTTCCCCTTGTTTTTTCTCCTAAATGAACTTCCTGCAAAATTGACATGATTTCCCAGTGTTTCGATTTTCGACAGAACTGCATTCTTTGACGGAAAATGGTTCTGTTGTAACTTTATCCGAGCAACTCTAATCTTATTTATTTGAGTCAAATCCCAGTCCCACATCTGAGGCATCTGAAGGGGAATATTGGATTTTCTTGCTTTTCTTTATTTTTGAGATGCCATTCCCCCCAAGCTTCTCCATTTCACCAATGCTGTTTCCCTGTGTTAGTAAAAAGAAAAGGAGGACTTGTGGCACCTTAGAGACTAACAAATTTATTAGAGCATAAGTTTTAGTAGTCATCCGCTAAAAAGCCGACAATCTAATCAGCATCTTTCCCTCTGCAATATGCCTGAGTCCCGTAAATCCAAGAAGTGAGACTATTGTGAGACTTCATGCTACCACTAAGCCAACCACTTTTCTCATTTATTTTGGAAAAATCACTTTTTTTTTTTTTTTGGTGTTCCAAATTTATTCCAGAGAATCTGTATCTAGTTAATTTTGTATTAGAGCTATGGGAAACCTCCGTAGTGAATACTTTTTACCCTTGCAGTATAATCCTTCTGGGCCAGTTTCTCAAACCTTTTCCTAAACCTGTTTGAATTTCATGGAAATCGGAGCTAAATGGTGGCTTCAGGTAATAGCTCACTTTAAGTGATCACTCTGGTTACAGTGTGTATGGTAACACCCATTGTTTCATGTTCTCTATGTATATAAATCTCCCCACTGTATTTTCCACTGAATGCATCTGATGAAGTGAACTGTAGCGCACGAAAGCTTATGCTCAAATAAATTGGTTAGTCTCTAAGGTGCCACAAGTACTCCTTTTCTTTTTGCCAATACAGACTAACACAGCTGCTACTCTGAAATATTTCAGCTGAGTTTCACTTTGAATTCTTGGGTTTGTATTCAGGGACTGCAAACGTACATGAACTTGAAAGAAAAGGCACATGCAACACCCAGCAAGGAAAACAAGCAGGTTCCTCTCAGCTGTTTTTAATTAGCTATACTTGTAAATAACACTCATACCTTGCTTTGTTTCCACAGATTGCCCACAGCCTCCAAACATTCCAATGATAATGCTGGGTGTTTCTCTTGCTATCCTTCTGATGGGCACTGTTCTACTTTGTATATGGAAATTGCTAGTTTCTTTTCAAGACCGAAAAGAGGTTGCCAAGTTTGAAGCAGAAAGATCAAAGGCCAAATGGCAAACGGTATGTACTTGCATTAATTTTATATAAGTCTCTGTGATTTGGCTCAATGGTTCTCAAATAATAAAGGAATTGGACAGATTTCCCAAACTATGCTCTTGTGTCGGTAGATTTTTCACTATATAGCATGCTATAAATTAAAATTCTAATGGGTTTTTAGGAATGAATGAAAAATAGATGGATTTTAATATTCTTCATTTTATTTCTTCCACGCACAAATATGATGCACTGAGATGTCAGTTTTTTAACTGACAAGGGCATCTAATGAATCATTTTATATACATCTGTTAGTGAATAGCTTGATTAATATTAGAGGCACAGTCTTGTTCCCGTAAATATCACATGTTCCTTTTCCCCTGTTCCTTCTGCCTGGAACTTTTGCTTTTTTGCAATAGTATTATGATGAATTAAATAGTGATTCATTGACTAAGGCAAAGAAACACTGAGCAGAGTAGCATCATGATTGACACACTTCAGCAGGACCAGTCACTACATTATTCTCCAGCATCTGAGAAAGAAAAATAGGTACAATTTAACTCCAAGAATTTTTCCATAATGCCTTTGGTTAGCCAACGCTGATAAGATGTAGGTGAAGAAATAGGAGGGAAAATAAAGGGAAAATAAAGGTGCTTTTGAAGGGAAAATCAGTGAGGCCAGACAAAGGGCACTGGAAACCAGCATTAACATACCTAGTGTTAGCCCTGAAAATCCCTGGGGTTTCCCTAATTAACCATGTGGTACAGTCTGAAGTGTCTGACTACAGTAGAGCTGAATAGAATTCTGACAGCATATGTCTTCCACTTCCACCTCTCTTGCTGAAAGTGGGAGAGAAGGTATTTCCAAGGCCTGTTAGCTTCCCATAGTGACACTGGTAGGAGATGGGGAAGCCACTGCTATGCCCCAAGAAGACTGACAACAGATAAATGAAAGATCACAGGCCTGTGGTGGGAGGAGACCTTTTGGGGATGTGGGAGGCCACTTAAGCATTCTGAGGTTTACATGCATCTCAGGATCCTGAACCTCGGCTAAAAGTTCGTGTAAAAGATAAAGAAGCCTCGTTTTCATCCAAAGCTTGGAACCACAGAGGTTTTCTGCATTGTTTCAGGTTTTGTTCTGAAAGGAGTGCATAGCTTTGGAGTTGACATATTGTTATATTAAAAATCCCAGGGGAGCTATCTACAAGAGCAGGGGTGAAGTGAGCTGCCCAAATTTCAACTACATTCAGCTTATCTAAATTCTTCCTGTACTCTCAGCTATTGTATTCCTCACTCCTGTCTTAAACTATTTGGTGGAGTTACTGTGTACCCTTAAAGTTTTATAACAGGCAAAACCAAACTCCCAAATGTCAAGGTTCTGGATCTGAACTGTCCCCATGTTCAGGGATATTTAAGTTGGGGATGTTTGCCAGAAGCTGGGAATGGGTGACAGGGGCTGGATCACTTAATGATTACCTTTTCTGTTCATTCCCTCTGAAGCACCTGGCACTGGCCACTATCGGAAGACAGGATACTGGGCTAGAAGGACCATTGGTCTGACCCAGTATGGCCATTCTTATGTTATGGAGCTAGGTGTAAGCTGTGAACTTTGTTCCAAGGTTTAGGCTCATCTCTTAAATAGCTGATGCATTTCACCCCAGAAATGCCTGTACTACATGGGTAAGCAAAATCAGAGACCCTGATCTTGTGAGGAGCTGAGCATCCTCGACTTCCATTGACTATGAAGACTGAAGGCACTCAGCAGCTTACAACATAGTTTGGAAAGCACTTTGAGCTAAATTGAGCCACTAAGCTCAGTCCAGAGCAAGGGACAGTGTGCAACTGTGCCGTTCCAAGAGAAGATCAGGCAAAGAATTATGTCTCAGAAATACAATTCCACTCCAGTTCTCCCCTTCCTCTGAGTAAGTTACTTCACCCCTGTTTTGGAGTGCAGTTTGCTCTCCCACCCTGTGAACTCAGCCAGCTATTCTGACTGGTGAGTAGCGTGGTGGACCCAAGGTTCCCTGCCCCATCCATCCCATGTCTTCCCCCCACACACCACTTGCTTATAGTGGAGAGTCCTGATTGAGCATTCTCTGATCTCCCCCTGTAGCCAGAGCCACACTCTGAACAGCTCTTACTCCCCCTTAGTTCTCTGCATGGCCAAATAATGGTAATGTCAATGTTGCTATACAACAAACACTTTAACTGCCTCATTAGTACTACTTGCATATAAAAGCAGCATTTTGCGAGAACATTTTTATTCAAAGAGAAAACTGTTACGTGACATTTCACTGTGTTGGTAGCAGTAAAACTGGGTTAACCAGCAGACCTGAAAAGACATGCAATATCAACTGCAGATTAGTGAGTTGCTACAACTTTGTTTAAACATGATTAAAAGAAGCAATGAACACATTTATGTAAATATACATTACATATACTAATTGGCACAAATTTATGTTTTTATAGAAAAAAAACAGGCTTGACAAATGAGTAATATCTTTAAAATTAACGGAGCAGTTTAATGGTGAATCATTCCCCCCCACCCCCAAAGTGACTACAGAACATTTTATCTAGGATTGGCACATAACTGAAATTAAGGTGCAAACTTTGTGGTTAAAAAAAATCTAAAACAGAAAATAACACATTGCGCATTTACATGGGTTGGTAATTAATTAAAGCTGGAACTGATATGCATTACCTAATACTTATCTAGCACCTTTCATTTTCAAAGCACTTCTCCATCATCATCTAACTAATCCTCAGGTAGGAAAGTAGTATTAGCACCATTTTGCACACAGACAACTGAGGTAGTTAAGGCACTTGCTAGAGACCACAGAGGGAATCCGTACGAGAGCCAGGACACCTCGCCTCCAGTAGCTGCATCTGACCATAACATTGACAAGCTGCTGAGAAAGCTGCAACCAGCCAGTTTCTGTGGGTCTAGGGTGAGCATGGGGGATTCACCTGAAGATTGTTAGAATGAGGGAAAAGTGGAAGAAGAATGGAGAGAATTTGCCTAAAAATCCCCTAAAAATAATTCAGGAAATTGTACTGCAAAATATACTTCGACCATCTGTGTAATTAGACACACTCTGCTTGAAGGATTCGGCGATGTGATGGGGAACTTTGATGAGAGACATGTCAGTGTCAATGTTGAAAGCAGAAATGCCATCTGGAGGCAACTTTTAAGTGCCTACGTAAGGAAGGTGGTTCAGTGAGGGACTGGCCTCAAGGGGAGAAGGAGTGCTCAAGCTCATTGTGGGTGGTAAATGACTGTGTGTTAAGAACTTGGACAGCTTTGTAATCCTCAAGGCAAGGAGATCTGTAGTTTCAGATAGCACAAAACCGCTGATACCACTGGAAGGGATCTTATTCCAGGTGCAGGCCAGCAAAGCACACTTGCCTGAAGGGGGATTGATGCATGACTTCTCCTATATATAAAGTTTTTAATTCTGTAATAAGTGTACACAGTGTTCTTACTATCATTTTAAAACGCATCTATTGCTGTTTTTTACTTGGCCCATAGTTCTGAGTGCTAGAAATAATAAATCTATTATTTGATTATTCATAGTTATATGTGATTAAAACTGGGAAGTTTTAGACTGATCTGCCACTCTGTTACATCTACTATCAAGGGACCAGGGAAACAACCCTTTCATCTGAGTAGCCTGCAGAGATCAAGTAGGGGAATGGTGGCAGCATAAACAATTTAAATGACCCTTTACAGAAAACACTTTTTATAGTCTTTTCCTTCTAGAATGATCCAGTCATGATGCTCTGCATGAAAATAATCTAAGACACATGGTTAACTACATCTTTGACAACATACTGTTTCACTAGATTTGTTTTTTTAACCTGGGAGGCAGGTTTGTTTGTTACATTTTTCCTAGTTCTGGATTGATTTGTTATGCTCTGTGTAGCCTGATCATAATTATGCCATATTACGATCTTCAGTGGATCCGCACGTGACAAGTTTACTTGCTATATTCTGTAATGCAGCAATAAGCACATTACTTGCACATATAAGGAATGAAAGATATTACTGAGTTTGTGTGTGGTTTGCATCACCAGACTGAATCAGGTCAGGAATCATTTACATGATGATGACCCACACTGCTGTAAAGCTAAAGAGGTAGCATTAAAGTTAATGGATTGCACCTACACACATATGCAAATGAGTCAATGGTCAAATGGCAGATTTAAGAAAAATTATATTTAACTTACTAGCTTTTTTCTTTTGTTGTTGTTTTTAGGGAACAAATCCCCTGTACAGAGGCTCAACAACTACATTTAAAAATGTAACTTACAAGCACCAAGAAAAGCAAAAAGTGGACATTACTGCAGATTTCTATTAGCACTTCAGACACTGGAAAATTAGTTTTAATGACGAGAAATATAAAAGCACTATTTTGTTTTTATTTCTTTATAACTGATTACATGGATGTTTGTTAGCACATCTTAGTGATATAATTCAGCTAGAGCAAATATATTTTGTGTGTATTGAAGGTATTGTAGATTACTGCTGTATGACTAAAAATTAAGAGAAACGTTACAAAGAAACACATTTAACATTCAGACCCACAAATTAGTCTTAAAGAAAAAAGCACTGACGATATCTGTGGAATTTGCTCCACAAATAGAATAAAAATTCATCATCAGTAAGCACATTTTGGTAAGTCTAACTTGTATTTGCTATTTATGGTGAATTTTACTTCACGTTGTTCACACTACAATGCCCAACACATGGTGCATACCCAAACACAATCAGTCTACGCTGTTGGCTTACATAAAATAAAAAATTTAATGCCAGCAGGGCTAGGGGGTCCTGATGCCAAACTATGGGCCTGGATCAGGACCCCCTAGTGATTTCATCAGAAACAACTGAATTTATAGCCTAGCTTACATGGATCCAAAACTCACACAAATATCTCCTCAACCTCTTTGCCTTTCCCTCTTTCTTTGCCTGTCTCCTTCCCTGCCCCTGAATCTTCTCCCTTTGATGTTCTACCTTTTTCTTTAAGGACCCATCCTAAGGCAATGCCAAAAGTGAATCCTGTTTAAACACAGCCAGATCTCTTCCTCCTCTTTCCTCTGAGTTCTACTGGAGAGGTTCTAGTACAAAATAGAAATGCATGTCATCGTTCAGAAAACTCAATAGAGCAGCTTTAAACCTGAAGATGACCCTGAGGGTTTTGAAAAATTTACCTCCTGTGCAGAGATCCCACACAAGGCCTATACACCACTTAATCCTAATTAGACTTGCAAGATATGCCTAGGAGCTGCACAGGCTATTGTGTAAGCCCTTTGAATAGAAGAGAATTTCATACATAAGGCATGGATGTAATTATCAGACCTATAGTTTTGTGGATATCACACAAACAAATGATGAGATTTTTCCATAGCAGCAGCATATTTTAATCTGCCAGTCCATTTATTCTAGTACAAGAGAATATATTTGACCCTTTTTCGCAGTTTTTCAAAATAAGCAGTTATTAATTACTAATTCCCCTTGCTATTCATGGCAGTGACTTTAATAAGAACCTTAAAAACTGAGTTTTTAACTAGAGTTGCTAACTACTTGCCATAGACCCTTTGTCAAAAATGCATGCATAGTACTGAAAAAACAGCTGATGTGATAACATGCAAATAACAGTATCAAGATTTTTTTTAGAGAGAAAAAATACTGTATTGACCTATTTCAGAGTAACAGCCGTGTTAGTCTGTATTCGCAAAAAGAAAAGGAGTACTTGTGGCCCTTAGAGACTAACCAATTTATTTGAGCATAAGCTTTTGTAGCTCACGAAAGCTTATGCTCAAATAAATTGGTTAGTCTCTAAGGTGCCACAAGTACTCCTTTTCTTTTTGTATTGACCTAAATATTAGTTTCTTCTTAAATGTTTTAACCTTCTGGTCCATGATAAAGAGATTCAGAGTGCAGACTATTTTTATAACAGATACATATGCCATCTGAAAATATTTTTTAAGAAACAACATGTTAACCTATTGACAGACTAATAAAAACTATATTTTTCTCTGCATTAAACCAAAATTTTGATCTAAAAATCCTTGAAGGTGGCCATTTTGAAATAAATCATTATTCCAACAGCCTGTTTAACTTCAAGCTTTTATGTCCATACACTGCAAATACAGGATGTGCTGTGAATTGATTTATTATGTAGATCTGACTCAAACCTGTTTTTCTGGGTCTGATCCAAAATCTACTGAAGTCAATTGGTAAGGCTGGATGAGCCCTTAATGTCTGGAGATACATAAAAACAGATGGCCATTGTTCTGCGGTCATCACCTCTCTCTATTTGAATTGCAGAATATCTTTTAAGCAGCTTGAAATCAGTTCAAGTTGTTCTACCTCAGTAACCAGACTTCAGAATGATGTATATATTGCTCTGAAATTTACAGCACAAGTATTTGATTTTATTTGTTAAAATCTCAGCTCTTTCCCCAAAATAGTGAAAATAGAACCTTGGGTATTAGTTAATGGAACATTTTTTTGTTCAGATAGAAGCTGATTAACACTATTCATTAGTGGATTGGGACCTATGATATATATTTGTGTTCGAAGAAACTTTAAAACATCTTTAGAAATAAAGTGAGACAATATAACAGCATGTGAAATAATTGCAGTGTGAAAGGCTTACTGTAAATCTAATCACTAGAACTGGAATAAGTTAATTAGGCATCTGTACTTTTCACTATTCTTTCACAACTCATAGTGGAAGCTATGCATATGCAGAGGGGCCAGATCTGCAGTCCTTCCATTCCCTTAACTCATACTGAAGTCAGTGAAAGTTACAAATAGCATGAAATCCTGCTTCCTTAACCACATGAATAGTCTCACTGAGCAAAATCATGGTTCCATTGAAGTCAATGGGGCCAGGCTTTTACCCACTGACTTCAGTAGGATTATTGCACAAGTAAGGATAGTGGAATTTGGACCATGGAAAGAATGTAAAGGTAAAATAGCTATTACTTCTGTGTTTGGTTTTAAAGTAAAAGTATCAAATGGGAATCATTTTTAAGAGATTAAAAAGCATCTTCCATTTGGTATCTCAGTCTAAAGTAACCAAATGCCTATTGTTTTATTAAACACCTTTTAAGTTGTATTTCCGAATGGCTGACTCAATGGATCAGTAATAGCAAGCAGAGCCTTTCATCGTTAGGTCACCAGTTTATATATAGAACAGCTCTGTAGTGTTTGAATGTTGTTTCTCTCTGAACACTGTTCAGTATTTCCTAATGCAAAGAATTCATTCATCCCCTGGCAGGGAGCCCTGTCAAGCCTGAAGCACATTGGCAACTCAGTGTGGTGAAGTGGACTGCTTGTGCTGTACCAGTTCTGGGCATAGAGGTCTTCGGGGCTCTCAGTTGGGCACTTTTTGCCAGAATGAAAATCAATCAACTACTTTTTATAGTAAGAATTCATCAGAACAGAGAAAATAGCCAGACTTATGGCTTATTTACTGTTATAATTAATCATGTTTATTACAGTAGTCTACAGATCAATCAAGAAGAGGCCCTATTATGTAAGTCACTATACGAGAGTCCCTACCTTGAAGAGCTTATATAGGAGACCTCTCAAATACAGATCACGCTGAAAGCTATTTTTAATTACAATATGTGCTGCAAGCTTCCCAGAGGTCATACAGCATATTATAAGATGTTGATCAGAGACCAGTGGCATTTTCTCCAACTCCAGGAGTGGGGTTTATCCTTTTAGTTGGATGACAGATACTTTTAACAAACTTTTACAACCCTTTTTTTTCCTTTTTCAAACTCTGAGTGTCCGTGTGGTGTGGGAGTGGGGGGCGGAGAGGATGGAAAAGTCCTTTTTTTTTGCTGTTGTCATGGATGATGTTTTGACCTAAGGCTGGACCTGGGCAAAACATTGTTAATAGATGTACTTCTGTTCACTGAAGAGTTAAACTAAGTAAATAAAAGAATGTTGAGAACATTTTTTTTTGTATTTGTGTATCTGACATACATTAAAAATGTAATTTAAGTCATTTGTCTTGCATGGATAATTGTCATTTTGATTTACAAAAATGTATATATGTACTCACAAAAAGAAAAGGAGTACTTGTGGCACCTTAGAGACTAACCAATTTATTTGAGCATAAGCTTTCGTGAGCTACAGCTCACTTCAGCATCCGATGAAGTGAGCTGTAGCTCACGAAAGCTTATGCTCAAATAAATTGGTTAGTCTCTAAGGTGCCACAAGTACTCCTTTTCTTTTTGCGAATACAGACTAACATGGCTGCTACTCTGAAACCTGTATATATGTACTGTGTGTCCAGATTCCTTTTCCTATGTATGGCTTTTTCAATTTCAGGGAACAACGTAATACAGAAAATAGGTAATGAATCCAGGAGTCGAATGTCAGGGCAGTACTCTTTGTGTATTGTGTATAGTAATACAGAGGGCCAAATCCTGCCTCTTCCTCTCTGGCTATGGAGTGCCCTGACCCACCTAAGTCAGACCAGTTCTCTCAGAGGAGAAAAGGAGGGCAGGATTTGGGGATACAGAGGGTCCACACTTCCTACAGGCTAGGAAGCTGTATTCTGCTATATCTCACTGACTCCCAGCATGCAGGATAAATCAGGAGAGGGCTAATGGATCCACAAGTATATAGATCCAGTCAGCCATTTTCCCCTATAGAAGGGAGGATGGTAAGGGAGCCCAATGGCAGTCTGGGCTGCTGTAGTCTTGAGGTTGTAGTAGCAGTTGTGGTGGACTCTGTGGCTTCAAGTGAGAGGATTCCTGCCCTCCAACCCCCTGAGGAAATACCCAGTGTACAGCCAGGTTACTCTGACTGTAAGCTAGTTCCAGGAATTGGGCTATGAGTTTTACCTGCTAAAAATCCGTGATATTCATCATATGTTCCTGGAGGCAAATCTCATACTGACACCAGTGAGAACTGAGGTAGGACTAGGGACCAAGCATCAAGGAGCTGAAATATCTGCAAGTATCCTCAGACTGGGAAAAGATTTGCAGAAACAACACTATCCACCTCTCCCTGAAGTCCCTCACAGACTTACAGCTCCATGGTTTCAGAGGAATTGGTGGGACAGGGTGGGTGGATGAAGCTGGGAGGAGTAGCTGTTCTACAAAGCATCCTCCTCAAAACCCATAGAGATTTATCTCATAAAATAATGCCAATCCTTATCTTACATAGAAACCCCCTCTGTGATGAGAAACCTGCTGTTGGAGTGTTTGGAGTCAGCCACACAATGTGATCCAAAAAGTGCAGTGCGAGGTGAATTTTTTTCCTTAATGCTGCACAGCTCTGCATATTTGCCCTGAGTTTTGAGTACAAAGCCACACTTCCCGTAGGCCTATCAAGCCTTTTGAACCCGAACTCCCCAGCTTGTTTTACAGTAAGTGGAAGGCGAACATTGTCCGAGTGGAATGATCACACAGAAGCTACGTGAATAAAACCTGAAGGAACCAATTTGTTCCTCCATTCCTCTGCAGGGTATGCATAACTCCCACTGAATTTTCCTTCCCTAAGGAGGGAATTATTTAATCTTGAGTAAGGACTGCAAAATTGTATCTTTTTTTTGTTTATTTGTTGGTTCAAGTGTATTTACAGTAAATTATTTTTTCTCTAAATCTTTTATGTGTCAGCCTGTCCTTATCTGTTGCTTCATGTCATTTGATTAGTCCTAGCAACTCCCTCATGCTTCCATAATTTGTTCTGCTGAAATTCATTGTTTTTATTTAACATCTTTGTTTGCGCTGTTGTGCCCTATAGTTTATGATGTTGCTTTCTTTATGAGGTGTAATATGACTAGACGGTCTCCTGTTTGTGATCTATTTACTTTTCAAGAGGCTCTTAAGTAAATGAATAAGCTTTATATTCAACCTGTTTTTCCAAAATATGATGTGATTATGTATGAGAGGGTTATATAGAGTGATTCCTAAAGTGCACAACCTGCTTATAGCTAAGGGTCTTCCATTAATCATTATAATAACTATTTTACTTCTCTTTGAAGCTACAGGGCAAAGTTCATATTTTCTATTTTATCTGTCGGGTACTTCTCCTTTTTCTGTTCTAATGAAAATTCATATATATTGTTGTCTTATTTGTTAATATCCTGCTGTGAGGAAGAGAGCATTGCTCTATATCCTTGATAGAACTATATTGCCAGTTTATCATATTTCCCAGGTGCAAAATGAGAAAATGTGCTCTTATATTTCACAGTGGGATATGACAGTTGAAATTGATTTGATTCTTTAGTATGTATCTATGGTGCATAATTTATAGCAGATTCTACCTACACCAACTCTCTATAAATCTTTATTTTCTTGATTCCCAGAATGGTCCATACTTTGAAACTTTTCTTCTCTCTTTTCATTGTGGTTCATATTGGCAAAGATTGAGAGATATCAAGAAAAGGACAAATGACACATGTCTAGCATGATAAAAAAGCATGAACTTGCCAAAGATTCTAGGAAGTTGAGAACTTTTTATTTTAAAGTTTGCCCCAATCTGAACTTTTATCAATAAGAATTCAGGAGGGTAGATATGAACCAGGAATTGATTTTCTCTGCAACCTTTATTTTTTTGGAGAATTATTTAGACAACAGATTAATTCAAGTTTATATTTCTAATAAAACTGGGCAATTTAAAAACTATTGCAAGAAATGTCATTTTCAGATAGAAAAGGTGTGTGGCTTGATATTTTTTCTACAAGCTACTTGTCTGAAAAGTAATTTTTCTCAGCAATAGTTTCCTTAATTACAGCTTCCAAATTTGGACAAAGTAAGGCGTTAAATAAACCTGAGGGCTAAATGCAGAGAGAACTGGCATATACAGGGCCGGGTGTAGGCACCAGCTAAGCAAGCTGGTGCCTGGGATGGTGCTGCTGAAGGGCCGGCACTCCTGCTGTTCTCCTCTGACTCGGATCTCGCCGCCGGCGGCAATTCAGCGGCAGCTCTCTCCAATGTTCCTGTTTCCTCCGGTGGCGTATTCGGCAGGTTGGTTTTTTTGTTTGTTTGTTTGCTGCTTGGGGCGGCAAAAAACGTAGAGCTGGCCCTGGGCATATATTAATTGAAATGTTAAAGATAGTTGGGCTTTGCATATTTCTGGGGAAGAGACTGTACCACCAATTTTAAATCTCAAAGCTAATAGCTCATCTTAAGGAAAATGGTGCCTTCATGCTGATCTCCATTAGATCAAAGTTACATGTGTAGATCCGATCTTGCTCCTACTAAAACTCTCACTGACTTCAAGACTGGGCCCAAATGACGTCAGTGTCAGGGTCAAAACTTCTATATAATGAACCCCAAAAGATTCTATTTCAGCTGTAGGAGGCCCGCCCAACCATTGCCAGGTCAAGTGAACATAGTATAACCATTAAATTCTCAGGAAAAAATAAAAGAAAGGAGTCTGAAAAGATAGAGAGGCAGTCAAAGAACAGTTGGAATTAAGTGGGAGAAAGTCTTTTAATAAAAATAGCATTATTTAAGGACTTTCACGCTATACTTATTTTCTCTATTTTCTGTACCATTTAGCAACATTGTTTTCTTCTCTAACTTCTATACAGACTACTCTATAGGCCCTTTTCTTTCTGTTGTTTGTTAAACTGTCCCTCACAGTTCTGTCCATCCTCTTAGCTAGCATACTGGTGCTATCTCGGTTCAGGTACACAGCCACCCATTACATAGACTCATAGACCATATAGGTTCATAGGTTTTAAGGCCAGAAGTGACTATTATGATGGTTTTATTTCCTATGTTATACAGCAGGGTCAGACTAGATGATCTAATGATCCCTTCTGTCCTTAAAATCTTTGAATCCATGCAATTGTAATCCAGGCCTGCTGAGTGTGGTGCTCAGTCCCCCTCTAGTGGCACCTAGACGACCTAGAGATTGAGGAGTCTGCTACAGCCTTGGCTAACTGCAGGGCCGGCTCCAGCTTTTTTGCTGCCCCAAGTGGCGAAGAAAAAAGAAAAACCCAAATGAGCTGCCGCCGAAGAGGAAGAGAGGGAATGAAGGACTCGCTGCCGAATTGCCGCTGAAGACCCGGACGTGCTGCCCCAATAACGCAGGGAGTGCCACCCCTTTCTATTGCCCGCCCCAGGCACCTGCTTCCTTCACTGGTGCCTGGAGCTGGCCCTGGCTAAGAGACTCACACATTTAGCTTCAGAGGTCCCAGGTTTGATCCTGCCAGCCACAAAAACGGGTCTGTTGGCATTACATATTGTCTGTGCAAAGGTGTTGAACACCCACTCTGGGCTGTACAGAGGGTTTCTGCACCAAGGCCACACAGGCCAGCACAGAAGGCCATAACTGGAGAAGTGCCACAGATCCAGTGGCCCCAATATCTATCACAATTGACCTGCAGGGACTGTGATTACTATTCCAAGCCAGCTGGAATAGCAGCCTCAAGGAGACTGCACAGCAGCTCCATTCGCTACTTGTGGGTTTTGGGGTTGGATTCCACTTCCTGACCTCTCCAACTCCAGTTATATTGAGCTTGATTATAGGGGCTTTGTACAGGTGGAGTGTTTTTTTTCTCCAGAATAAATTTTTCACTATGAATAATTTGCCCACCTCTACAAGAAGCAGTTGGAAGACTGACATGGAGGGCTTGTTTACATGGGAACACTCAGGAAAGTTTAAGACAAATCAATGGAAGCTGTGAAGTAAATGCACATAAATTAAACAGCATTAAACCCCCTCTGTGGATGCTTTAATTCAGAAGTAAAATGGCCTTAGTTCACTGTAGCTTAAACCTCCTTAAAGGCCACTTCTGAAGCTGAGTATCCATGCAGGGATTTAATGCACTTTAATTTATGCACTTTAAATTCACACCATGAGTTGATTCAGATGAAGTCTCCTGAGGCCTGGTCTACACTACAAACACTTCTTAGCATACCTATACAAATATAGCTACGCTAGCAAAGCCCCCTAGTGGAGACACTGCTTGTATTGAGGCCAAAGGAATTCTTCTGCCAGCATAGTTAAACCACATCCCTGTATTATATAAATTATGCTGGCAGAAGGACACTTTTGTCAGTATAATTGTGTCAACACTAAGGGATTTGGCCATCCTAGCTATGTTGGTTAGGGGTGAA